TAGGCCAACCCCAACCTCTCTCACCACCAAAGGAACACAAGTGAACAACACAAGCAACGCTGACACCAAACTCTACATACATTAAACATAATAGAAACACCGCCACCCGACCCCACCCCCATCCATCTTCCCTCTCACCACCCCCCTTTCTTTTTTCCCTTTTTTTTTTTTTTCTTCTCCCCCCCTAATGCCTCAACAAATGAAATGGATTTGTAAAAATGTTACATGAAAAAAATATATATACGAGGCAGTACACTTACTTCTGTAAAACAAGAAAATCCTTAATAAAATATTTAATAAAAAAAAAAAAAAACCATGAAGTACCTTGCTCCACCCAAAGAGGCCGCAAGTGGACCAACCAGGTCTGCATGGACTAGCTGGTAGGGTTTGGAAGCCTGCCTGCTAGACTCCTTGCCTTTTGGAGCAACCTTCACCTTGTTCTCTGCACAAGATACACATTTCATGTGAAACTTACATTTTTATTTTTTTTTATAAATGATTTTTATTAAGCTTTCAGAAAAACAAATTAGACAAAAAGACATAAAAAAAAAATACACAAATACACTATACATAGTCCAAAAAAAGGAAAATAAACACACACAAAAAACAAAAAGCAAATAAAACAGAATAAACAGAACAGTTACAAACAATATCACTTTTTCATTTCCGTTTTTAAATTTACTTATTTTCTGGACTTCCTCATACGTCCCTCTTTTGTATTCCAGTCCAAATTGTTTGTCCAGCAATTTCTTTTCCACTTTTTTAATCCCAGTCTTTAATCTTAATATAATATAACATCAAAATTTTACCTCTTTAGTACCAAATTTCCATTTCCTTAAACTTCTTTAATCCTTATCTTTAATCTCACTGTAATATAACTTGAAAATTTTACCTCTTAAATACCGAATTTCCATTTCCTTAAACTTCTTTAATCCTAATCTTTAATCTTGATCTATCTATAACTTTATCCTGTACAGCTGGAAACCACTTATTTTCAATCCAACATTCATGTGAAACTTACAGGGTTTGATGTTCAAACCCTCAACCATCTCTGGCATCTTGGCCAGTGCCTTCCAAGAGAGGTGACAAAACCTTCTGTGTGCATCATGAATGCATCCTGCATGAAGAACTTTGTTAGTTTGTGCAACACAACAAGAATCAGCATTAGACATAGCAACCGCATTGTCATCATAAGTTATACAGAACAATCCATCTATAAACTTTGCATGCAAAATGTCCTCTTTGCCTTTTCTGATGACACAAACGCTCCTCTTGAAGGAAATCTCAAAGCCACGCCCAGTCAGCTGTAGGACACTGAGCAAATTGTCTGCAGCACCTGGAACATAAAGTACATCTTTGATGGTAGTGTGCAGACTTGCCAGTTTCACAGTCCCGACTCCTGCAATTCACAACGTCTTTCCATCAGCCTGGTGGATCTCTCCGTCTTGAGGTGTGAAGGAGATAAAAAGATGGCGATCCTTTGTTAGATGGCAGCTGGCACCAGAGTCCACAATAAATCTGGCCTTGGCCTTTGGAGAAGCTTTTCCAGCAAGCAAAACCTTGTTTTCCACCGGCGTGGGCTTTTGCAGCTTGCCCCCCTGCTCCTGGCCATCAGACTTGCCTTTAGCCTTTGGTGAAGCTGTGCCAGCAAACAAAGCCTTGTTTTCCACTGGCGTGGGCTCTTCACCCCCCTTCTGCTTCGGGCCATCTGCTGGTATCTTGCTCTGTTTACCTCTGCCCTTCCGGCCTTTGCAAAGACGATGACCTTGGTTCCCACGAGAAACAGAGCTCTCAGCTGCTGACTCCTTGGCTCCCCCTGGAGGCTGGAATGCTGCCTGGGATGACATCACAGTCAGCTCCCCCTGCAGCTTGCAACTGGTGCCCTCAGCATCCCTGCATTCACTCGCATTCTGGGAAACAGCCAGGACCTCCGAGGCAGTCAAACTCTGGGCTGGGATGACTGGCAGATGGGTTATCCTCAAAGCATTCCACATCTTACGTGCAGTCACGTTGCCAGCTAACATTTTAATTTCCTCCAGAGAGACGGACAAGACTATTATGTCTATGACCCTCGAATTCTGGGCTCTCCATCTATCTGTCAGAGGAACTGGAGGGGCTTCAGACACAGTATGCCACACTCCAAACTGACGCAGCAAACTCTCACACCACACAGCCCAGGTCTGATAATTGTGCCGATTTAACTTTGGGCACTTAGTGCCATCATCTGAGGCTTGTAAAAACTCCATTCCAGGTTTTTACTTGAGCCGTGAGCCTTTATGCCTTCAAAAAGTTCTTATCTCGGCAGCTCATAAATCACGAAGCCTCTGGCGCGGCTCCCAGGCCAATTAAGCCAGCCGGACATCAAAAGCTCTTGCCGTGGCAAACAGAAAAGCCTCACTCTCGCTTTTCCCACATACCTCACAGCAGTCTTTTGCAGTCTTACTCTCCTGTAAATGCTGTGAATCTGGGCCCGAAACCTGTTGTTGGGATACTGCCAGGGAGACAAAGTCCATCATGGCCCCCAAGCCGGCTGCCGGACGATCCATCGACCTCTGGTAGTCACGCAGTATCAGCAATTAGCGACACGAGTTTCCAGAAATAGCTTGCCACATTCCAGAGCTCATGCACACGCTATCTGCAGATAATGCCCAGCAAAAGTCGCACTCAGGAGAGCATTATTTACAAGTTTTATTCAGCGTTGATCAGAACAAAGAAAAACATGACTGCCTGCTTCAGTGTCTACGACACAGAGAGAGAAACGAAAGCAATAGAAAACATAAACTTCCTGTGAACAGGAAATGCGCAGACTCTGTGACTCACAAAGCCTGCTCCCTTTAAGGTGGAACGGAAATATCCTAACAGGCTCACCTAGTGCCTTCACCACATATCTTCAGGTGCCAGGCAAAAATGTTCCTCTCCAACCAGCCTTTGGCTGTTACACTGTGAAATGTGCCCGCAGGGTTGAGGCGATGGTCATTGTTTTTTAATTATTTTGTTCCGCACTTTGTGGTTTTCCGTTGCAAACTGGCCTTTGGATGGAGGGTGGCATATAAATTTAATAAATAATTGTTGGCTGCTGCAGGTTCTCCAGGTAGCAGCCAAATCTACACCCCCCCAGCAGACTGTTGTGTGTTTAAATTGCAAAAGGGAGTGGCTCTGGGGCCCAGGCCTGCCTGGAAACCTTATGCTCTGGCTCAGAAGCCCTGCCTCCAGTCCCAGGTGTGCCCCGGGGGCTACTTTGCAGAGAGAAATGCTTTGCATGTGCTCAGAGGCACCAGTGCTGTTCCTGGAGCCCCAGGGCTATCCTTCCGCCCTGGTTGCCTCCACAGATGGAGGCGAGGGGGGAAGGGGGGACCCCAAGACACAAGCAGGCCCAGCTGGGTTTCAGCCGAGAGCTTTCCTGGCCAGTGGGGTGGCTCCTCCCTTGAGGCACAGAGGGCAGGAACAGAGCTTTTGGGGAGAGGAGGGGGTGCTGGCTGGCTGCCTGGGGTGAAAGCTCCTTCACGGGGGCCCCTCATGAATCCTTCTTCATTCATTGAGGGCAGGTGGCTTGTTCACTGTGCCTTTGAGTTGAGAAGAAGCCATTTGTGCAGGAGATAAACTAGGGGCTGCCGGGTTGAGCTGATGGGAGCTCTGGAGGGCACCCCATGGACCACCCCCCATTCAGAGCTTTGTCCCTTAAGAACTGGCCCATCAGATTGCAGCAGGTTCTGATCCATCGTGGGTGTCCGTATTGTAGGAGAGAAGCCTCACCTCATGAATGGGATGGAGTATGAGGAAGGAAGAGAATCTTCCTCCATCTCCCTCCTCGCATGAGACCCGTGATGGTGATTAAGCGCAAGGTTGGCGCTATGGGTTAAACCACAGAGCCTAGGACTTGCCAATCAGAAGGTCGGCGGTTCGAATCCCCGTGACGGGGTGAGCTCCCGTTGCTCGGTCCCTGCTCCTGCCAATCTAGCAGTTCGAAAGCACGTCAAAGTACAAGTAGATAAATAGGTGCCACTCCGGCAGGAAGGTAAACGGCGTTTCCGTGCGCTGCTCTGGTTCGCCAGAAGCGGCTTAGTCATGCTGGCCACATGACCCGGAAGCTGTATGCTGGCTCCCTCGGCCAATAAAGCGAGATGAGCGCTGCAACCCCAGAGTCGGCCACAACTGGACCTAATGGTCAGGGGTCCCTTTACCTTTACCAGCTTGAGCCTGTTTGGCCACGTCTCTCCTAGAAGGTGCAGGAGAAGAACGAAGAATGAAGGAAGTGCAGAATGTCAAAGGTGATTTCAGCTTTTCTTGCAAAGCTCATTCCTTGTGGTCCCTTAGCTGGGCTGGGCCAACTTTGTGATCGCTGTAAAAACCTGTCGGCTCAATTGGTCAGTCGGTTCAGAAGAGAGTCCTGCTGGTGGGAATTTCTCCAACTCAATGGCCTTGTCTTGAGAAACAGTCCTGGGCAGACCTTTCCCCTAACTGCATCACAAAGGTTGGGTTTTCTTCCACAGTTTTGGTGTCAGAAGTGGTCCGCATTCGGGACCTCGGCGAACCACCGGCTGCCTCCTTTCACGTAATCATAGCGAGAAGGATTGGTTTTCTTCCACGGTGGTGAATTTGAAGCAGGGCAGGGGAGTCAGGGTGGATCAGCTGAAGCATCTTCGTGTCATTTCTGCGTCAGCCGATTGGGATTCTTATTGATTGATTTGTTTCATAAAATTTATACACCATTTGATTGTAAAAAGAAAAAGGAAACTGAGTGGTTTAAAAACAATAAAATTAATGGTAAAAAAATGGCTGCTTAAAACATGCAAAAAATGAAAACCAGCAATAATTTAAATAAACAAAACAAAACAAAAAAAGAAACCAGCATTCTAGATATCTGGGTCAGGTTTTCTAAAAAGAATAATGTTTTTCGCAGGCGGCTTAAAAGGACAGGGAAGGTGCCTGCCTGCTCTCCGTTTCTTCTGTCTGCTAAGGCCCTGATATGTGCAGAAGGGAAGGAGGCATGGAGGCAGGAGCAAAGGGAAAATATTCCATGATTTGGCAAGCCAAGACTTAGATCATATCAGGGTGCTTTGCTGATGAAGCAAGGAGCCCAGCCACTCACTTGAAATTCCCAGAGAGATAAAGGTCTCTAATGGGAAAGGTCCAGCAGACCCCATCAGCTATTAAAATGAATCTGTTGCCCAGGATGCTGTTTTTATTCCAATCAATTCCAGTTCTTAATTTTTCATTCTGCTTCAAAGAATGGAAGACGGATATTTCTAAATTTATCTGGTGGGGGGAAAGCCAAGAATTAAACATAAAATTATGATAGATATAAAGGAAAGAGGAGGCTTTGCCTTACCAGACCTGCAAATGTATTATGAGGCAGCCTGTTTGTGTTGGTTAAAAGAATGGGTCACATTGGATAATGCAGACATCCTGGACTTAGAAGGTCATGACCTAAAATTTGGCTGGCATGCATGGCTTTGGTAGGGGAAGGCGAAAATTTATAAAAGTTTTATGAACCATATTCTTAAGAAGAATATGTATTGAGTTTGGGGGAAATGTAAAAATCATCTGGAAAGGAAAACACCTTTATGGCTGTCTCCTATCGAGGCGATTACTTTTAAGAGAGTTAATATGGATAGACAGTGGGCAACTTACAGGGAATTGATGTATATTACAGGGTGGGGGGAAAACCAAACTGAAATCAACGGAGAACGTAAGGAGCAATGTTACGGATTGATTACAATACCATCAGTTACATGTAACGTTTAAATTAGATAGGAAAAAAATGGTTTCTTAGTCCAAAGCTCACAATTTGAAAAGTAACTTCTACAAAACAAAGAGAAACCTTTGTCCAAGATGTATAATTTGTTATTAGACTGGGAAACAAAAGTTGAGCTTGTTAAAGCCTCAGTGACACACTGGACAATAGATAGAGGACACCATATAGATTTTAACCTCTGGGGAAAACTCTGGAAAAGTGACTTGAAAGTTACAGCATGTTATTCTTTGAAGGAGAACTACCTGAAAATTATTTACAGATGGTATTTAACTCCAAGTAGGCTTGCTAAGTTGCTTAATACTGAATCAGATAAGTGCTGGAAGTGTAAAGAGGTAACGGAACATTCTTTCATATGTGGTAGACTTGTAAAAGGGTGAAAGAGTTTGGGAAAATTATACGTAATGAATTGAAAAAAAATGTTTAAAAGTACTTTCCCGCCCAAAATGGAGTCCTTTCTGTTGGGGATAATTCAAACTGAAATTCCCAGGTGTCAAAAAAGATGATTTATGTACACAACAACTGTGGCCCGTGTTTTGTTAGCTACAAAATGGAAAACGAGTGAGGTCCGACTCCCAACCAAAGAAGAATGGCCGGTGAAGTTGACAGAGTATGCACAACTCGCAGACTTAACATATAGAATAAGAGAACTAGAAGAACATACGTTTAGAGAAGAGTGGAAAATGTTTATTGAATATATGGGAAATAAATGTGGACAGCTGACAACACTGACGGCATTAAGATAAATTCAACAGTGTAAATAAGTTTTGCTGGATGTAATAATGGAAAACTGGTATAGTTTTTGTAAAATATGCAGGGATTTATAGTATGTAAAATGAGCCATAGAAAGAGAAGAAAGGAAGTCTTTGGCATCTTAAGGATGTTAAATGAATATTCTAAATTGTAAAAAATTTAACAAAAATTATATACCAAAAAAAGCAATAAAATTAATGGTAAAAAATTGAAAACCAGTGATATATATATATAAACACGCATTCTAGATATCTGGGTCAGGTTGTCTAAAAATAAAAACGTTTTTCGCAGGCGGCTTAAAAGGACAGGGAAGGTGCCTGCCCGCTCTCCTTTTCTTCTGCCTGCTGAGGCCCTGATATGTGCAGAAGGGAAGGAGCCATGGAGGCAGGAGCAAAGGGGAAATACGTTGTGCAAGCCAGGACTAAGGTCTTGCCAGGCCAAGGAAGCAAGGAGTTCAACGACTCCCTTGCAATTCCCAGAGAGATAAACGCTTCTGTGTTACGTGGGTTAACCCATAAGATTCATGCAAGAAATGGGGAAGGTGCAGCAGCCCCCGTCCAATTCCACGTGGATAAAAGGTGCAGGGTGAGCCAGGGTTAGTTCCTTGCAGGGGGGGGGGGCTCTTATTGAGAGGGTCCTCCTCCTCCTGCTCTGTGCTCCCCTTTGCCCATCTGAAGGCTACACAACTCTTCTGCCTTGAATTTGTAAAGAATTTTACTACTACCACTTGCATTTTACTAGATGGGCTGGAACGACATCTTGTCCTTTTGTGTTTTGCTTTCCCATTACATACTGTTTATTACCAGTCTTAATTGGTTTCTCAGGTTTAACTTTCATCCTATGCAAATTCCTTGCATCCTGCCAATCCACCATACAAGTGAAAGCTTTAAAGAACTGTAGTTTACCTGTCCCTGAGCTGCAATTCCCAGCACCCTTAACAAACTCCCAGTGTGGTCCATATGCAGTATCTCATTTGTCCTATTTCCTAGAAGTTACTGGTACTTTATTTTCTAGAGCTGGGGGTGGGCAGCGAGGCGGTCAAGTTTGCTGACCGTACCAATTCCAAGTATCGGGATGGAGATAGTTTGTTAAGGGGGGTGTGGGTGTCTCTCTCAAGTTATGCCACCTACACTGATCTCATGATCTGCCGAAAACACGTCTTGTTGCCGCAATGTGGCCAAGGATATTAATACCGAGCTTTATGGGGAAAGGGGAATTTTCGCTGACGGGGGAAGCTCTCCGTTCCCTTTTCTGTCCTAAGGTAACACCTAATAATAATAATAATAATAATAATAATTTATTATTTATATCCCACCTATCTGGCTGGATTTCCCAAGGTAACCCAACACCCGCACCCACCCGCTGCTGGCTCCCTGCCCAGTGGAAAAGCTGGCTGTTCATTAAACCAGAACTCTGCCCCGGAATAGCAGAGCTGGAACACTTTGGCAACTCCCTTTCTTTGCAGGCGACGGAGCGGAGCGTCTGGCCGGAGCGCCCCGGGGAAGAGTAGCTGCAGGGAACGGCTGCCGGGCGGCAGAACTTGCTCTGTCTCTGGGAGACGCGCGGGGCCCCATGGAGCTGCTGGCCCTCTGTTGGCACCCTCTCTGGGTGCCTTGCACCCTGGTCCTGTCCGTGGTGCTCTGGGCAAGGAGGGCAGCGTGGAGACCTGCGGCTTGTCCTGTGGACCTGCGTGGCAAAACCGCCGTGGTCACTGGAGCCAACAGTGGTGAGTCCGCAAGATGTGCTGGGCCTGAGGGGCCAGGGGGCTTAAGCCTTGACCCCTCCCCAGACCCAGACCCCCAACCCGGTAGATTTTACCTGCTTATCGGGGCTGCGCAAAGGGATTAAGGTCCCATCGAGCGCTTCGGAAAACAGAATCCTAGAATAGTAGAATTGCAGAATTGGAAGGAACTGCAAAGAATCATTTATTCCAACCTCCTGCAAGACAGGAATCTCAGCACAAGATTCTAGAGGGTCATTAATCATAGAACTGGAAGGGACCCCCGAATTTCATATAGTCCAAGCGCCCGCAATGTGGAAATCTCGACACACAGTTGTTGCGTGTTTCGGATGTTTCTTAGTGGTTCTGAACTTGTGGGTTATGTCTGCGTGGACATGCATTTTCCTTGGCACTTAAAGTACGCGCACCCTAATACAGTATTATTATAACACCGTGCATGTGGGACTTCAGGATTAACTGAAGCAGAGGCTGGAGGGACACCTGTCGGGTATGATCTAGCTGCGGTTCTTCCATTGGGCACTGTGCAATTGTGTGTGTGCGAAAGAGAGAGGGAATGTTGCAGCAGGACAAATCCAGCGATGGTTGAACTATGTGCGTAACTCGCTATCGCAGCAGGAGGCAGCCCTGACCCACAGCCTAGAAGGCTTTAAAATGCCTGGCGGACCCAGGGAGGAGGGGAAGGTGGGAAGTCCAGAGATTCGGAGGAATCTGTAAAGATGGATGTTCGTATTGTTATAATGTTATACTTGTAATGCAAGTAAAACCAAATTAAAATTATTTCAAACAAACAAAATTAAATAAATGAATAAGTTTAAATAAATAGATAGATATGTAGAAAATGCAATAATAAAATAGAATAAAATGCCTGGAGGAGGAAGAGAAGGCTATCGAGGGCTGCTGAAGGAGCAGAGCTTCTGAGTACAGTACTGGTTGTTGGAGACCCCAGGAGGGGAAGGGGCTCTGCCGCTCCAATCCTGTTTACAGGTTTCCCATAATATGGCACCTGGCTGGCCAGGGTGAGAACTGGACGCAGCACTGGGTGGGTTCCCTTTGGCCGGATCCAGCAGCGTCTTCTGATTTAGCCCTGCGTGGATTGCTGCGTGGGCCCTCCTTCCTCCTGCCCCCCTGAAACAATGGGTCTGGGGTGTGTGTGGCAAGAGCTGGCCTGCGGCTGATGCCTTCGGACTTCATAGCACTGCGGAGTTAAGAGGGACTCCGAGGGTCCTCTGTCTAGTCCAGCCCCCGCAGTGCCAGAATCCTGCCCACAGCCGTCCCTGGATGGGCTCAGACCAAAGACCTTCTGGCTGACAGCCAGACCCACCGACCCCTGGGGGCTTTCCCAGGGAACCCCCACTCCCCTGGGGCAGGTGAGCAGGATCTGGGCAAAATGACGAGTCTGGTTGCTCCTGCTGCTGCCAGCTGGGTCGGGTTGGGTTCCAGAGCAATAGGGAAGCGGGTCAGGGCCAGGGGGAGAGCCACCCCCGCCAAGACCCCCACCAAGACCCACGAAGAGGGGTTCTGGTCCTTGACTCGCCCCCGGGGGCTCTGCTGCAGGGATTGGCAAGTGCGTGGCTCTGGAGCTGGCGCGCAGGAATGCCCGGACCATCCTGGCCTGCCGCAGCCGAGAGAGAGGGGCGGCAGCCGTGGAGGAGATCCGCAGGGCCACGGGGAACCCCGACGTCCACCTGCGCATCCTGGACACCAGCTCCATGGCGTCGGTGAGGAACTTCGCCCGGCAGTTCCTGGAGGAAGAGGGGCAGCTGCACATCCTGGTCAACAACGCCGGGACCACAGGTAAGTGGCAGGGCTGGGCGGGCGGTGGAAGGAGCCCCCAGGCGCTGGAGAAAGAGGAGGGGCTGGGTCGGAGCCCGGCTCGCCTGCGGACCCTCTCCAGGGGGCCTCTAGGAAGCCACAGAGCCTCTGCTCCTGGGGGCTAGGACTGCAGGACTGTGCTGCCTGCACCAAAGTGTGATTGGCCCCGATTCTGGAAACCCGGGAGGCACCCACAGCGCAGCAGGGCGCCCCAGCCCCTAAGCAAAGGCACCTCTTGGGATCTCCTATTATATATATATTACATGGTAGTTACCGTACAATTTCAGCACTGTACATGACATATATTATATTATTGTATATACGGATTCCCCACATCTAACTCTATACCCAACTCATCATTTACCCAAATCCCAATGTGACTTCCTTCACCCACATGCATGATATCCTTCTGGCTACCTTAAAACTCTAACATTGTGTTCATAATTCTTCATCACATTTAGCAATCCTCTATCTTAAAATCATTGCATCTTAGCTTAATGAACTCAATCAGTACTTATCCAGAAATTTCTCTTGAAGTAATTTTGTGCAATATATTCTTCAAACCATTTCCATTCCTTTCTGAATTTTTGTTTTGATTGCATTCTATTCGACGCTGTCATCTTGGCTAGTTCAATATATTCGCAAAATTTAATTTGCCACTCTGACATTGAGGGAGTCTCCTGTTGGGATTTTCTTCCAGCCTGAGGCTCCTCCTCTTCTTAGGGGTGGTCCACCAAGGCAAGTGTGGACAAGCAGCCCTCTGGTACAAGCACGGGAGGGCAGCTGTCCCCTGTGTCGTCCTCCGCGGAGCATCCCTCGGCAGCGGCCGCTCTTGCAAACGGCACAAAACAACAGCGAAGCGTCTTGCTGCGCCTGAAAGACAAGAGGGTGGATTCTCTGGAGCACCAAAGCTGGCTTCTGCGGAGATCCATTCTCTGCTCTTTCAGGTGCTGCCCTAAAGACTCCTGCGGTGACCCCTGTAAAAGCATCGCGAAGAGGTTCGCTGGGCTCCCGGACCCCTGCCTGGCTTGATCCAGCAGCAGCAAAACTCTCCTGGTGTTGCTGTTTCCTTTCCTGTCTCACCCCCTTCTCCGAGGAGCCCCAGGCAGCGTCCCTCGTTCTCCAGCGCCGGATTTACGCATAAGCTAAACAAGCTCTAGCTTAGGGCCCCAGTCTCTTGAGGACCCCCCAAAAATTAAAGGAAATAACACTTGGATGTACATTTCCAAAATATAAGATAAAAAACAAATAAAAGAAAACCTACAGACAGCAACAGTTGTTTTGTTTTGTTTTGTGTTGTGTATGGACCAATTAGGTCCATAAATTACCATATATCAGGGGCAGGCAACCTAAGGCCCGTGGGCCGGATCCGGACCAATCACCTTCTCAATCCGGCCCGTGGACAGTCTGGGAATCAGCATGTAGGCTCTTCTTGGAAGCAACAGAGCACATCGTCTCCACCAAGGAGGAGACAGGGGACTCCCCTGAGAAGGAGGCTAGTTCACCAACACAGGAGCCAGATATATGGAGAAACGTGACTCAAAGAAGTAGGAGGCCCAGGGTTCGCTCTGATTGTTTAGAAATGCACAATCGCTTTGAGGTCCTCTCCCCTAGCATGGAAGACGAAGAGCAGACTCCATTTGAGGATCTCTCTCTCATTACAGTCGATCAGGTATATGAAGACGAGCAGCAAAGTCAGTCCTCAGGGAATGTGCAGGCGACCTTGGAGCGGACAGCTCACGGAAGAACCCCGACCAAACCTAAGAGGAGGCGTGTAGTGGTGATAGGGGATTCCCTACTGAGGGGAACAGAAGCAGTGATCTGTGGGCCTGACAAGATGTCTCGGGAAGTGTGCTGTCTCCCGGGGCTAAGATCCAAGATGTAACTGAACGACTGCAAGGAATCATAAAACCCACTGACAAATACCCCTTCCTCTTGGTTCATGTGGGAACCAATGACACTGCAAGCAATAGCCTCCAGAAGATCAAAAGAGACTACGAGGCTCTGGGCAGGAAATTGAAGCAATTAAATGCACAAATTGTCATCTCATCTGTCCTCCCAGTTGAACGACGTGGCCCAGGGAGAGAGGGAAAAATAGTGGAAGTGAACAGCTGGCTTCGCAAATGGTGTAAACAGGAATGGTTTGGTTTCTTAGATCACGGACTGCAGTTTCTTGAAGATGGACTTCTGGCAAGCGATGGGCTGTACCTCACAACGGTTGGGAGAAATGTTTTTGCCAAAAATCTCAGAAACCTCTTCAGGAGGGCTTTAAACTGACTAATGTGGGGGAGGGAGACAGTGCTCCTGAAGGTAGGAGTCTATCAATTGATGAAGATGATCATCCAATTGTCATAGACCAAATGGAGCAAACAGCACGCAGACCTAGTGGTGGGAGGAAAAATCCTTAAATAAGAGACACGGGGAATGATTAATGGACTTCAATGTCTGTACACTAATGCGCAAAGCATGGGAAATAAACAAGATGAGCTTGAGCTCTTGGTACAGCAAACTAAATATGACATAATAGGCATCACTGAAACCTGGTGGGATAAGTCCCACGATTGGAATGTAATAATGGAGGGATACAATCTATTTCAGAGAAACAGACCAGACAAGAAAGGAGGAGGAGTGGCGTTATATGTCAGGGATGTGTATACCTGTGAAGAGATCCAAGATTTAGAACCTCAAAGCCAAAGTGAGAGCATTTGGGTCAAAATTAAGGGAGAGAAGAATAACAGTGACCTCATTGTGGGAGTTTACAATAGATGCCCAAGCCAAACGGAGGACATAGATGATGCCTTCCTGGAACAGATGGCCAAGCATGCAAAAGGAAGGGAGATAGTAGTAATGGGGGACTTCAATTACCCGGATATTTGTTGGATGTCAAACTCAGCCAAGAGCATAAGGTCAAACAGATTCCTCACTGGCCTTGCAGACAACTTCATTGTCCAGAAAGTGGGAGAAGCAACAAGAGGAACAGCCATTTTAGATCTGGTCCTAACCAATGTTGATGACCTGGTTAGTGGGGTAGAAGTGGAAGGATCATTAGGCGCGAGTGATCATGCTCTTCTGAAGTTTACTATACAGCGGAAAGGAGCAGCCAAGCATACTAGGACTCAATTTCTTGACTTTAAGAAAGCTGACTTCATAAAACTTAGGAAAGTGCTGGGTTAGATCCCATGGACAGTAATACTAAAAGGAAAGGGAGTTCATGATGGCTGGGAGTTTGTTAAGAGGGAGATAGTAAAAGCACAACTTCAGGCAATACCAATGAGACGGAAACATGGAAGGTGCCTAAAGAAGCCAGGGTGGCTATCTAAAGAACTTTTAACTGAGTTAAGATTAAAAAGGATGTGTACAAAAATGGAAAAGGGGGAAACCACCAAAGAGGAATTCAAACAAATAGCCAGCACGTGTAGACACAAAGTCAGAAAAGCTAAAGCACAGAATGAACTCAGGCTTGCTAGAGAGGTTAAAAGCAACAAAAAGGCTTTTATGGGTATGTTCGTAGCAAAAGGAAGAACAAAGAAACAGTGGGGTCACTCAGAGGAGAAGATGGTGAAATGCAAACAGGGGACACAGAAAGGGCTGAACTCCTCAATGCCTTTCTTGCCTCAGTCTTCTCCGATAAAGAAAACAATGCCCGACCTGAAGAATTTGGAGCAAATGATTCAGCAAAGGAAACACAGCCCAGAATAACTAAGGAGATAGTACAAGAATACTTGGCTAGTTTAGATGTATTCAAGTCTCCAGGGCCAGATGAACTGCATCCAAGAGTATTAAAAGAACTGGCAGATGTGATCTCAGAACCACTGGCAGTCATCTTTGAGAATTCCTGGAGAACAGGCAAAGTCCCGGCAGACTGGAGGAGGGCAAATGTTGTCCCTATTTTCAAAAAGGGGAAAAGAGAGGACCCAAATAATTACCGCCCAGTCAGTCTGACATCAATACCAGGGAAGATTCTGGAGCAGATCATTAAGCAAACAGTCTGTGAGCACCTAGAAAGGAATGCTGTGATCACCAATAGTCAGCATGGATTTCTGAAAAATAAGTCATGTCAGACTAACCTGATCTCGTTTTTTGACAGAATTACAAGCCTGGTAGATGAGGGAACGCAGTGGATGTAGCCTACCTTGATTTCAGCAAGGCATTTGACAAGGTGCCCCATGATATTCTTGTAAAGAAGCTGGTAAAATGCGGTCTTGACTATGCTACCACTCAGTGGATTTGTAACTGGCTGACTGACCGAACCCAAAGGGTGCTCATCAATGGTTCCTCTTCATCCTGGAGAAGAGTGACTAGTGGGGTGCCACAGGGTTCTGTCTTGGGCCCGGTCTTATTCAACATCTTTATCAACGACTTGGATGATGGACTCAAGGGCATCCTGATCAAATTTGCAGATGACACCAAACTGGGAGGGGTGGCTAACACCCCAGAGGACAGGATCACACTTCAAAACGACCTTGACAGATTAGAGAACTGGGCCAAAACAAACAAGATGAATTTTAACAGGGAGAAATGTAAAGTATTGCACTTGGGCAAAAAAATGAGAGGCACAAATACAAGATGGGGGACACCTGGCTTGAGAGCAGTACATGTGAAAAGGATCTAGGAGTCTTGGTTGACCACAAACTTGACATGAGCCAACAGTGTGACGCGGCAGCTAAAAAAGCCAATGCAATTCTGGGCCTCATCAATAGGAGTATAGCATCTAGATCAAGGGAAGTAATAGTGCCACTGTATTCTGCTCTGGTCAGACCTCACCTGGAGTACTGTGTCCAGTTCTGGGCACCACAGTTCAAGAAGGACACTGACAAACTGGAACGTGTCCAGAGGAGGGCAACCAAAATGGTCAAAGGCCTGGAAACGATGCCTTATGAGGAACGGCTAAGGGAGCTGGGCATGTTTAGCCTGGAGAAGAGGAGGTTAAGGGGTGATATGATAGCCATGTTCAAATATATAAAAGGATGTCACCTAGAGGAGGGAGAAAGGTTGTTTTCTGCTGCTCCAGAGAAGCAGACACGGAGCAATCGATCCAAACTACAAGAAAGAAGATTCCACCTAAACATTAGGAAGAACTTCCTGACAGTAAGAGCTGTTTGACAGTGGAATTTGCTGCCAAGGAGTGTGGTGGAGTCTCCTTCTTTGGAGGTCTTTAAGCAGAGGCTTGACAACCATATGTCAGGAGTGCTCTGATGGTGTTTCCTGCTTGACAACCATATGTCAGGAGTGCTCTGATGGTGTTTCCTGCTTGGCAGGGGGTTGGACTCGATGGCCCTTGTGGTCTCTTCCAACTCTATGATTCTATGATTCTATGTTTTTACATGAGTAGAATGTGTGATTTTGTTTAAAATGCATCTCTGGGTTATTTGTGGGGCATAGGAATTCGTTCATATATATTTTTTCAAAATATAGTCCGGCCCCCCACAAGGTCTGAGGGACAGTGGACCGGCCCCCTGCTGAAAAAGGTTGCTGACCCCTGCCATTTAGCATACAGTGGTACCTCGGGTTACATACGCTTCAGGTTACATATGCTTCAGGTTACAGACTCCGCTAACCCAGAAATAGTACCTCAGGTTAAGAACTTTGCTTCAGGATGAGAACAGAAATCGCGTGGCAGCAGTGGGAGGCCCCATTAGCTAAAGTGGTGCTTCAGGTTAAGAACAGTTTCAGGTTAAGAACAGACCTCTGGAATGAATTAAGTTCTTAACCCGAGGTACCACTGTATATTCAACACAAAAAACAGCGACAAATTGTTGCTGACAAAGGACAGCTGGACATATAAAGGGCCCCATTATTTTCAGTAGCTGAGGGCCGCATCAAACCTCAGTCCGGCCCTGGTTCTCCCCCTCCTCATGTCATCCCCACAACAGCAACCCTGAGAGGTTGTGTCTGGCCCCCAAGATCACCCAGGGAGCTTCACGGTCAAATGGTGGAGATTCGAACTCCGGCCTCCCCGTCCTAGTCCAGCTCTAAGCATTGCACCACACTGCCTCTCTCTCTGCTGGTGCCTTTCCTGGTGTCTGCCCCAGGGGAGACTTTTGGCAAGGACCTCACTTGTGCCCGTTTCAGGGAGCAGAAGGAACACCTTGGGCTGGAGGGTGCCAGATACGCTTGGACAGGTGGGCTGTCTGTCATTCTGCTCCCCATCTTCTCTCTCCCCCCCAGGTTTGCCGTTGACGGTCACCCCCGAGGGACTGAGCCTGATATTCGCCACCAACTACTTGGGCCACTTTCTGCTCACCAACTTGCTTCTAGGTAAGGCCACGCATCTCCTCCCCCTCTCAGCCCCATAGCTTGACCCCCAGGGTTATCTGTGGGGATTCAGGAGGCATCGAGAGCAGTGCTTCCCAAAGTGGGGCAGGGAATCATCTCCTGGAGGGATGGGGTTCTCCCTAGGGGGTTGCCAAAGGTGTAAAGGAGTATCAGGCTTTGAAAAAACTGGCACTGCTGGACCAAGTGACTCCGTTTGCTTCAATTAATTAAACGGAGCAGATTTCATTGGATTTCGAATAAGCGTGGAATTAATTGGTTCGTGTTTTGAATTTTATTGCGTTATCAATAAAATTGGGTCGTGCCAAGTGCTCTTCCAAGCTATTTATTTATTTAATAAAACCTATTCCCCGCTTGATTGCAAAAAGAAGAAAAACAGCGGCTTAGGAAAAGAGGACGCAAGAAAATCGAGGAGAAATTACAACGGCAAACAATTAAAATGCTAAAACAGATTTTCAGATGATGTTAATAATAATTATTTTTTGTAGGTGGAGAAGGGGTTGCTGGGGATCAGTTTATGGAATCAAGTGGGGGGGCCAAAAAAGGTTGGGTGTCGGCCGCCGAGCTATGGGAACTCTTCCCCGCTAAGGAAGTGGGTGCTGCTTGGGGAAGCAGCTGCTGGGGGGCAGTGAGAGGAGTGGGTGTTGCGGGGCAGGGGCTGAGCCCGGCCCCGATCCCTCCCGATTCACCAGTAGGAAGAGGAGGGTCTTTGCTCCAGCCCATCACCCTTTTTAAAAGTTTTTTTTTAATTATTTATTTGGTTTTTCAGGTTAACTTTTGCAGCCCCATATCCAACATACAACATAAAAACAATATTCCCAATAATCTCTTGGATTTCCCTCCTTTGTGGGTCCTGTTATTAATCATTTCCTGCTGCATCTTTTATGATAATCCAAATCTTTTACCTCTCCATTGCGTCCAAAATTCACCATTAAACTACAAGTGTTATTCCAATCCTACCAAAGATTTTAACTGTTTACAGTGGTTTTTAAGTTAAATTATCAATGTTCCCCGTTCCCTATTAAAATTGTGGTCTTCCTGATTTCTGATTCTTCCGGTCATTTTAGCTATTTCAGCATAATCCATCACCTTGATCTGCCATTCTTCTCTACCTACCAGCCTGTCACCCTTTGTGCCCCCTTTTTGTGTCCCCCAAACCCCGCAGACGCCATGAAGGCCTCGGCCCCTTCGCGCATTGTCAACGTCTCCTCCTTCAGACATCAGGCGGGGGAAGCGAACGTCCAGTTCCTGAGCGGAAAGGAGCAGCCGAAGAACTTCAACAAGGCCTACAACAGCACCAAGCTCATGAATGTCCTCTTCACGGTGGAGCTGGCCCGGAGGCTGCAGGGGACGGGTCAGTGCACCGCCCTTCCCTCTCGCGGTTAGGGGTCGCGGGTGGCGCTGTGGTCTAAACCTCTGAGCCTAGAACTTGCCGATCAGAAGGTCGGTGGTTCAAATCCCAGCGACGGGGCGAGTTCCTGCTGCTCGGTCCCAGCTCCTGCCAACCTAGCAGTTCGAAAGCACACCAGTGCAAGTAGATAAATAGGTACCACTCCGGCGGGAAAGTAAACGGTGTTTCCGTGTGCTCTGGTTTCGATCACTGTGTTCCGTTGTGCCAGAAGCGGCTTAGTCCTGCTGGCCACATGACCTGGAAAGCTGTTTGTGGACAAACGCCGGCTCCCTCGGCCTGAGAGATGAGGGCCACACCACATAGTCGCCTTTGACTGGACTTAACCATCCAGGGGTCCTTTACCTTTGAGGGGCTGCCCTGTGGATGGGAATCCTAGAATGGTAGAGTCCAGGCACCCCCCACCTTTGGCCCTCCAGGTACCTTCTTGACACGTAGAGAAGATAAGCTGCGTTCTGTTCTTCTGCCGTTCGTCATCTGGGCCCATAACCAAAAATGTCAGGATCTCCGCTCGGCCAAGCTGATAAAGCTCATTTTCTTCCCGAGCCTTCAGAGTCGCCTCCCGACGATTAACTGACGACCTCAAGCCTTTGATGAGGCTACAAGGCACGTCCTCCCAGCAGAGCATTAAACAGCATGCGGAAGTGATGAGATTTATGGCTACATTTTAATGAGTTTTATTTCTAAACTACGCAGAACAGAAAAGACGTCCTCTCTCTATGAAAGCAGAGAGCAACTGAACAAAGGAACAAAGGAATCAGGGAACCACACTAACGCCACATCCCGTCTCCTACCCGTGAGACTCCAAGAATTTGGACTGTCTCTGGAATGTAAACAGTGTCCTGTGACTCCGCGCAGCTGCACAGTGAGAAGAACAGAAACTAACAGTTTTGGCCTACAACTCCCATGATCCCTTGCTAACAGGACCAGTGGTCAGGGATGATGGGAATTGTGGTCCAAAACATCTGGAGGGCCGAAGGTTGGGGGTGCCTGATCTAGCCCAACCCCCTGCAATGCATCTCTTTGATGGCCCCCCAACCCTTGCTTGAAAGCACCCAAGGAAGGAGAGCCTACTACCTTCTGAGTAAGAACATCAGACGAGTCTGGCTACTGGATCAGGCCCAGTGCCCATCCAGTCCAGCCTCCTGCTCTCACAGTGGCCGAGCAGATGCCCAGGATGGGAAACCCGCAAGCAGGATTCGAACACAACACTCTCCCCTCCTTCTGTTTCCAGCAACTGGGACGCAGGGCATTGCGGCTTCCAACCGAGGAGGTAAAGACTTCAAGGCCCCCCATCCCGCCCCACAATTAATTCAGAGGTGGGCAATGGCATCCGGCCTGACCTTAGCAGACCACCCAGACAGGTGGGTGGTCCCGTCCAGATCTCAATCACACGGCGCAACTATGACCCATTCCTCCACTGGTCGGTGCTGACTTGGAGCTGCGCTTTCTGCTGGGATCGGTTGGCCATGAAGTCCCCCCCGCAGGACATGGACCAGTTCCAGGGAGCTCAGAGGCCCCCGCCTGCCAGCGACGAAACGGTGGCAGACTCCCCCCCCCCCCAGCTCCAGCATCCCATCAACATCACTTTTGCATTGTGGGATATGTTTGGGAAAACACTTTTAATTCAATTTTTATTCCTGGTCTGCTCTTGTGACATATCACCCCGTCAAATTTTTTTTACAAAAGCAAAAACTATGGCGAGGAAGCTAGCATTAAAAGTTTGGGGCAGCGCTCAGCAAAGCTCCCCTGTGGCTCAGAGCTCGGAGTCGCTGCTGGTTGCGCATGGAGCTGCTCTTGGTGGGCCCACCTAGACATGGAAGCCCAGATTTTGTTGCAGACACGCCCCTTTGCCCCCGGAGCACAATGCCCTTTCTGGGTGTGAGTGGGATAGGATTCTCCTCACCACCACCTGCTGCCAATGGGCTAGGAAGACAGAGAAAGGTTTTCCCTCCCTCTCCCTTCACACTAGAAACTTGTGGCCGTCCAACGAAGCTGAAGGCTGGGAGATCCGGAAGAGATGAAAGTCCTTCATGCAGCACAGAGTTAAACTGTGGAACTCCCTGCCACAAGAGGCAGGGATCGCCACCAACCTGGGCGGTTTCAAAAGAGGAGTGGACAAATTCTTGGAGGAGGAGGGGGGTCTCGAGGGTTACTAGCCAGGGGGGCTCTGCTCAGCCTCCACACTTGGAAGCCGAAATGCCTCTGAACCCCAGTTGCTGGAAAAGGACGTGAGGGTGGGGGGGGGGTTGTGGACTCCCAAGCACAATTCAAAGTGTTGGTGCTGACCTTGAAAGCACTAAACAACCTCAGCCCAGTAGACTTGAAGGAGCGTCTCCACCCCGGACACCAGGGTCCAGCTCCAAGGGCCTTCTGGTGGTTCCCTCCCTGCGAGAAGTGAAGTTACAGGGAACCAGGCAGAGGGCCTTCTCGGTGGTGGCACCGCCCTGTGGAACACCCTCCATCAGATGTCAAGGAAATAAGCAGCTATCTGACTTTTAGAAGACATCTGAAGGCAGCCCTGCCTAGGGAAGCTTTTAATGTCTGATGTTTTATTCTGTATTTAATCTGTTGGGAGCTGCCCAGAGTGGCTGGGGAAACGCAGCCGGTTGGGCGGGGTATAAATAATAAATTATATGATGATGATGATGATGATGATGATGATGATAATAATTTATTATTTATACCCCGCCCATCCGGCTGGGTTTCCCCAGCCACTCTGGGCAGCTTCCAACAAAACACTAAAATACAATAACCTATTAAACATTAAAAGCTTCCCTAAACAGGGCTGCCTTCAGTTGTCTTCTAAAAGTCCGATAGTCATTTATCTCCTTGACATCTGGTGGGAGGGTGTTCCACAGGGCGGGTGCCACCACCAAGAAGGCCCTCTGTCTGGTTCCCTGTAACATCACTTCTCACAATGAGGGAACCGCCAGAAGATCCTTGGATCTGGACCTCAGTGTCCAGCTGAACGATGGGGGTGGAGACGCTCCTTCAGGTCTACTGGGCCGAGGCCGTTTAGGGCTTTCAAGGTCAGCACCAACACTTCGAATTGTGCTCGGAAATGTATGATTAATTCTCTTTGGGGCAACTGGATGGTCACTGAGAGAACGGGAGGCTGGTGTAGATGCCCCCTCCCCTTGGCCGGATCCAGCAGGCTCTTCCCGTGTTCTAGGGTGGATCACAACAGCACGCTTGGGCCATGTACCGTGGGAGGGGGGGGCCCAAAATGTTCACATTTCTGGATTGCTCTAATGATGGACTTTTCTTGCGCTGCACACGGACCCAGGCTGGTTGCCCCCTGCTCAAGATCTCTCACTCTGTAATAATCCAGTCAGAGATCTGCCCTGCTGCCAGCCAGGAGTGGCAGAGCTGGGCGCTGCGTGCCCCCTGCCCTGGCACTCGGTGACTGAGGACCCGCTTCCCTTGCAGGAGTGACCGTCAATGCTCTGAGCCCAGGAATGGTCCACACGGAGATCATGCAGAACTTCAGCTGGTGGGTTCGCCTCCTCTTCCATCTCGTGGGCATCCTCTTCCTCAAGGTGAGACGGGACGGAGGCTGGTCCTTGGGGGCAGCCAGTCGCTGCCTCTCAGAGCCTTAGGGTCTAGCCTACCCCACAGGGTCGTTGCGGGGATTGAATGGGGAGGGGGAGAAGAACCGTGCGCACCACCTTCAGCTCTTCGTAGAAAAAGGTGGGATAAAAGAGCAAAAAACAAAACAAAAAAAAACAATAAATAAAGCCGAAGAAACCAGAAGTGCAAAAGTCAGCGGGGGCAGAGACTTCGCCAGTTCCCAAGGTCAGTCAGTGTCAAGTGAAGGTGGGATTTGAACTCAGGTCTCTCCCAGGTTCTAGTCTGACACTAAGCCCTCACCCCCCTCCATCTGCCTTCTGTTGTTGAGTCGTTTAGTCCTGTCCGCCTCTTTGTGACCCCCTGGACCAGAGCACGCCAGGCCCTCCTGTCTTCCACTGCCTCCCGCAGTTTGGTCAAACTCATGCTGGTAGCTTGGAGAACACTGTCCCACCATCTCGTCCTCTGTTGTCCCCTTCTCCTTGTGCCCTCCATCTTTCCCAGCACCAGGGTCTTTTCCAGGGAGTCTTCCAGGGTCTTTCCCAAAGTCTTGGAGCCTCAGCTTCAGGATCTGTCCTTCCAGTGAGCACTCAGGGCTGATTTCCTTCAGAATAGAGAGGTTTGTTCTTCTTGCTGTCCATGGGACTCTCAAGAGTCTCCTCCAGCACCAGAATTCAAAAGCATCAATTCTTCTTGATTTCTTCTTGATGGTCAAGAAGACCATCAGCCTTCTTGATGGTCCAGCTCTCACTTCCATCCATCACTACTGGGAAAACCAGAGCTTTAACTACCCCTTTTCTGCAAGCTGAGTTGCATCCCGTCTTCCAACAGAGGCAATTTATTCCTATCCGTTATCGATTCTGCCCCTCCCTTCATGTTGTTGCCCCGGGGGAGATTAGGGAGGGAGGGTGACCTGCCTGCAGGTGGATCCCTGAGCGGCAAGGACGCCCCTCTCTGGCCTCTCACCTGCCATTCTTGCTGCAGGACAGCCTTTCTCAGCCTGTGGGTCCCCAGATGTTGTTGAACTACAACTCCCATCACCCCTAGTTAGCCAGGCCGGAGCTCAGGGATGATGGGAGTTGTAGTCCAACAACATCTGGGGACCCACAGGTGGAGAACGGCTGCTGCAGGACATCTAAGCCAGGGCTTCCTGTCTCCCTGCCATTAGCATACAAAACAGAAGCTGGGGGTGTTTAGCCTGGAGAAGGTGCAGAGTCCTCTCCAAATAAGGGCTTCCCCAAGGAAAAGGGAGAAAACCTGTTTTTTTGTGACTCCAGAGGGCAGGACCCAAACCGTGGCTCCAAACGGCAGGAGAGGAGATTCCGACTGAAGGGACTCCCTCGGAAATGGGTGGCCCATCTCTCCTTGGAGGCTTTCAAGCGGATTCCTCCGCTGTGATTCCTGCATTGCAGGGGGTTGGGATGGATGACCTTTGGGGGTCCCTTCCAACTTTACAACTCCGTGTTGTGGGGCTGGCTGACCCTTTTTCTTTGCCTCCTCCCCAGTCGCCAACGCAGGGCTCCTTCAGCACCACGTACTGCGCTGTGTCCGAGGAAGTGGAGGGCATCTCTGGGAAGTACTTTGACAGCGACTGCAGACTGGCACTGCCCTCACCCCTCGCCCGAGACCCTGCCGTCGGCCGCAAGCTCTGGGAGGCTTCGGAGAAGCTGGTGGGCCTGCATGATGGCGGAAGGGAGCCTGCCAGCCGCAAGGTGGCCTAGGCCGGCCCGCGAGAAGGAAGCAGGGATTCACGCTGCTCCCTAGGTGCCAGGGCAGGACTCATGTCTGCCAGCAACGATCCTGGATGCTCGCTCTGGTTTTTTCCTCCCCTGGCCGGGTTTCGGAGACTGTTTGGGGTCTCTGCAGAACCAGCCGCCGCCTCCTGCTCTCCCACTCGATAACCGACATGAGGGGAAAGACCAGAAATTCCTTTGGGGTTAGTGTGGTCTAAAGAGAGACTTGAAAGGATCCGTGCATCGCTTTGCCCCTAGCAACCCCTTTCCTCCCAGTTTCTTTCCCTAGCAACAAGGTTTCCTTAGCAACAGACTTCTTTATTAGACGGGCTCTGAAGGAGAGAATGGGTCTGGCTGTTACTCTGCCCAGGTGGCTGAAGAGCAGAGAGGAGGAACGGCTGATTCCCTCTAGAGTTTCCCCTTCTTTTCCTTAGACTAGCTGTTTTATCGGCTGCAATATTGGTAATTCTTCAATAAACCCTTTGAGCAGAGCTGGAATGTGTGAGGTGTTTCTTTCCCCGTGGGTGAGCTGAACTGAGAAAGGAGATTCTGGAAGACGTTCTGGGTGTCTCTGCTGACTGCAAAAGGAACCCCAAACGGTGGTGACACAGAGCCTACTGGCATTTGGTACCCTGTTCAGTTTGGCAGGACGGCCAATCCATTTCTAGACACCAGTCAGAGTTTAATAAATGGCGTTTATTAGCTTTGCAGTGCAGTTCATGACTCCACACCCCCTTTGTTGAAGGGAGAAACGGGGTGCGGAACAGAGGAATATAGCAAATTCGAACAATGGCCTGAGTGCTGAAGAGGCAGAGACCTTCTTGGCTGCCTCTTAGAGCAGATGCAAATATTCTCCTTCTGCCACCTGCGATGAGCCACCATTGGCAAGATTGGCAGCAGCGGATATTGTCGATGCTTATCGTTCTCTTAATATTCCCTTGCCAAGTGTGCTGTTTTAAACATGCTGTTATAGCAATTCTAAGGTCTTATATATATAAAATAAATGTTCATAAATGTACAAGGTAAACTCATAGATAAGTATATAAACCACGTGAAGTCGTACAGGAGAGCAATCCTGAAGCCATTTTGACTCTTCCAGTCTTTCAGTGACCTCAAATATTCCTCTGCAGTAAGGGAGGCAAATTGTCTCTTTGCTCGCAAATCCTGCCTTAAGGGCGTATTTTTGTATGAATAGGGTGAGCCTGTGACCTGGAGTCATAACTAGGTATTTACCATCACAAAAGAACAGCTAGGCTGCCCAGGTAGAGCAATCAGTGACCATTATCAGGTATCCTGGCAGACAGGTTTTCAGCTGTAGACCGCCTCCTTCTGTGATGTTGTTTTTGGGGGTGGTCTTGAGCTACAGGGGAGGCAATTTCAAAAGTCTATATAAGGGCTTGCGCACCATTGGTTAAGGTAACCAGATTTTTTTTCAATGAATCCAGGGACACTTTTCAACTTCAATTGATTTTGTATGGGGACTGAATTGTAAATCCGGGGACTGTCCCCGGGAAACGGGGATGTCTGGTAACCTTATTCTGGGTCCCTCCTGCCTCCTGCGTGGAGTGAGCAGGGGACCCTGTTGCAACAGTTCAATAAAGATCAGGCTTCTTAGCTGCTTTGCTTCTCAATATTCTCTGGTTGGCCTCTGTTATTTTCTCCTACCAATAGGGAACCCACGTAAGGACTCTGTACGGGCTCCTGGGTACCCCGTAAGGGAAAAGCAGCAGTTTTTTCTTATAACAGTGCATTTTATATTTGACTTCCTTTAGTAAAGTTTTCTTTTGAAATCTTTAAGATAACTTTGCTGCTATAACCTGCATTCGGTCGTTGACCTCCTTTGTAATGTTTTATTTTCAAATCTTTGAGATAAGATTTAGTTTGCTGCCAATTATATTGCTTTGATTGCATACTTTATCGCTGACTTTCTTCTGTTTTTTCTGGACTGTTTTATTTGATGTTGTGTTCTCTCTGCTTTGTGGGTTTTTTCCTTAAAGATATAAAGCAATATAGAAATGAATTAATAATAATAATTGTCAAGGCTGCCTCAAGTCTCAGCTCACAAAAGACCAACGCCAATCTCTTCTTATATACAAAAGTGTTTATTGCAGTTCATTGTTTGCTTCACATCCGAGGCGCGCAGCCCTACGTCTGCTACGCTTAGACCGCTGAAGTCTCCTCTGAATCAGTCCCTCCCCTGCACCAGTTTAAGAGCCTTGCGCTGCTCCACCTTTTCCTCTCTTTCCTTTTCCGCAGGGTCTTCCTGCCCCCTGGGGTTTCGCCCCTCCTGGATTCCTCTGACGCGGAATCAGACTGCTCTTGCCCCCTCCTGCGGGCTTTGGGACCTGGCCCCTCCTCCGGGCTCCCTGCACTTCCGCGCGCCTCTACATTTGAACTTGGCGCACGCACCCAACCTCTAACCTTCCTTTTAACAGCTACACTACTCCCTTCACTACTCCCCTCCCCTTCCGGGAAGGTGGCTTGCTCTGACCCCCCTCCTTTCTCTGCTGCTGGAGCTGCTTCCTCTGACACACTGGAAACTCCACCCCCTTCACTGCACTCTGGCGGGGAGGCTGGTCCTGACGCCCAGCTGCCACTTTGGGATCCCCTGCTGGCCCCCTGCTCCTGACACGTCCCCCCTGGGGCTCCCCTGGCCTTGACCACAGGCGCCCACTTCTGGGAATCCTCTGATTCGCTGGAAAGACTCATGGAATCTCTTGAGTCATTGTCATCCTCTTCCTCGCTGTCCTGGGACTCATCCCCATCGCTCTCCATCTCCTGCCTACCCTGTGCCTCTGTCCCTGAACCCCTGACATCCATCCCCCTCGAAGCCCCCTTCCCCCCTCCCGCTGCTCGGGCGCAGGTTCCGGGAGCTCCGTTGTAGCGGGGGTAGATGCTGGATACAGTTCGTCGACGTCGATCTCCTCTGCTTCCAGTTCAGTGTATGAGTGCTCGAAACCGGGGTCCTCCCCCAACACATCCAAGTCCTCCCCTTCCCCTGTTACTTCAGGCGATGCTGCTTGCCAAGGCCCCCTTAGCCACCCCCTGCGCCACTCCTCTTCTGATTGATCGTCCCACCAGTAAGAGCGGTCCGTGTCCACCCCCGAGCACGATCCCCTTGGAGGGCTCGATTCTGGCGTGGTCTCCTCTGCGGAGGAGAACCCCCGGAAGGTGCTGTCTGAAAGCGTGGGCGTAAAAAGCCAGTCGTCAAAATACTCCGCTGGCATGGGCCTGTGTGGGAAGAGTGCATGGAACTCGTCTTTAAGAAGAGGTTCCTCCAGAGCATAATCTGGCACCCAACTGTTGGCGCTGGCCGGGGTACCTTCCCTGGCGAGGAGGTATTCCACTCCCTCCTCCCCCCATCTCGAGTCCAGAATTTCCGTGACCTCGTTGAGTGGCGGGGTCTTCGGTGACTCCCCCCCCCTTGTGACTTTCTACGTGGGTCTGGTGCCGTCCCTGGCTCCTGAAATCTGTGTGGGGCCTTGTAGGGTGTAAGCACCGACCTATGAAAGACCGGGTGCATTCTGGAACCTTCCGGGAGGGTCAACCGAAAAGCTACGGGATTGATCCTGCCCTCAACTTGGTATGGCCCTAACTGTTTGTGTCCTAGCTTCTTCTTAGCTAACGACTTGGCCGGCACCGCCTGGGCTGCTAACCATACCCAGTCCCCCACCTGGATGTCTTCTCCTGCCCTCCGGTGCCTGTCTGCCTGCACTTTGTAGGCGTGTTTAGCTAGTTCCAAGTGCCGTCGTAGCTCCTCGTGGACCTCCTGCAATTCTGCTGCTAAATGCTCAGCTCCCTGCGACTCCCCTGCGTCGTTGTCTCCAACGCCGGGAAGGTTCTGGGATGTCGCCCATTGTTGGCGAAGAACGGTGTAACCCCGTTGACGCGTGCTTCGTGTTGTTGTAGGCAAACTCGGCCATCGGTAAGTAGTCCACCCAAGTTGCAGGCTTTTGATTGGCGTAACATCGCAGGTACTGCTGCATGATGGCGTTGACCCTCTCCGCTTGGCCGTTGGTTTGCGGGTGTCTCGCCGACGCTAAGTTGATCTTGACATTCAGGATGCCCAGGAGCTTCTGCCAGAAACTGGAAATGAATTGGCGACCCCGGTCGGACAGGATGGACCGTGGTAAGCCGTGCACCCGGAACACGTGGTCTATGAACAGCTTGGCGGTCTGTTCCGCTGTTGCCACCTTCGCGCAAGGAATGAAGTGCGCCATCTTGGTGAACAGGTCTACAACCACAAGCACCGCCGTCTTGCCTCGCGAACTGGGCAGATCAGTAACAAAGTCCAGCGCCACCCTTTCCCACGGCTGTAGTGGCGTCTCCAGCGGTTCCAGCAATCCCGCTGGCTTCTTGTGCACTGGCTTGGACCTCTGACACGTGTCACACCTGGCGACGTAATCCGCGACCTCTCCTCGCATCTGGGGCCACCAAAAGTCCCTGGCTACTAAGTCCGCCGTCTTTTCTTTGCCGAAGTGACCCGCGCTGGGTGCGTCGTGTAACTGCTGTAAAACCTTCGCGCGGAGATCGTCTCCCGGCACGTAGAGAGCACCCTTGCGGGTTAGCAGGCCGTCGCGTATCTGGAATTCGCCGTCCTTTGCTGTCCCTCTGCGCACCTCCTCCATCTTGGATTGTGCGAACGGATCCGTCTGTAGCACGCGGCGTACCGCGTCCAGGTCCACGGCGGCGGAAGCGCATGCCCACGCCTGCGGTGCGAAAATGTGCCTGGCTGCCACTGGTGCCGCTTCCTCGAGATACTGCGGTTTCCTGGAGAGGGCATCCGCTATGACGTTGTTGTCTCCCGGGATATACTCTATCCTGAAGTCGAAATCCGCAAAGAACTCCGCCCATCTCATGTGCCTTTGGCTCTGGAGCTTCGCCGTGCGCCAATACTCTAGGTTCTTGTGGTCCGTGCGGACTTGCACGGTGTGCTTGGCTCCGATGAGGAAGTGCCGCCACGCCTTGAAAGCCGCGTGGATGGCCAACAACTCCCTGTCCCAGATGGTGTAGTTCTGTTCCGACTTGCTGAGCTTCCGGGAATAGAAAGCGCAGGGCCTCCAGTTCCCTTGCGGATCTTCCTGCAAGAGGACGGCCCCCACTGCTCTGTCAGATGCGTCAGTCTCAACCCGCATGGGCCTGCCGGGATTCACGTGTAGCAGCTGTTCTTCGGACGCGAAAAGGCTCTTAAGTCTCCTGAAGGACTGCTCCGCTTGGTCCGTCCATGTGAACTTTTTCTTCTTGGAACTGAGGGTGTCCGTGATAGCTGCCGTCTCTTTCGCGAAACCCCTGATGAACTTGCGGTAAAAGTTGGCGAAGCCGACGAACCTCTGGACCTCCTTCCGATTGCGCGGGCTATTCCAGTCCAACACCGCGCGGACCTTGGCGCTGTCCATGGCTAGTCCCTTGTCGGACAGCCGGTAGCCCAGGAAATCCACCTCCGTCACGTCGAACTGGCACTTCTCCAGTTTGGCGTAGAGTCTGTGCTCCCGCAGCCTCTGCAGGACCTCCTTTACGTCTCTCTCGTGAGTCTCCCGCGATTCTGAGAAGATCAGAATGTCGTCGAGGAAGCATACGCACTTCTTGTAGAGGAGTCCCGCTAGCACGTGGTGCATGAAGGCTTGGAAACAGTGGGAGCCATTTTGGAGACCAAACGGCATAACTCTGTATTCATAGGTGCCCAGCGGTGTGAACATGGCCGTCTTCCACTCGTCACCTTCCCTCATGCGTATTAGATTGTATGCTCCGCGTAAATCCAACTTGGTGAAGATCCTCCCCTTCCGTACCGTCGCGAGCAGGTCGTCAATTTTGGGCATGGGGAAGGCCTTGGGCTTTGTCATCGAGTTTATGGCCCTATAGTCCACAATGAGCCTTTTTTGGGGCGTGTCCTTCTTCTTCACGAAAAACACAGGACTGCCCCCACTGCCTTGGATTCTCGGATGAATCCCGCTTCAAATTGTGATCTATGAACTCCCTGAGTTCCTGCATCTCATCTTCAGACATGGAATACAGCTTCGCAGTCGGTAGCGTCGCCCCTGGTAAGAGGTCAATTGCACAGTCGTAGGGCCGGTGGGGTGGTAATTGGTCAGCTTCTTTTCGCAGAAGACCTCCAAAAACCCCTTGTACTTGTGGGGCACTGCCTGCACCATGCCTAGATGCAACTGTTGCCCTTCCTCCTGGCCCTCCTCCTCCTGGCCGGTCTGGATGCAATGTTGTGCGCAGTAGGACGAGCCAAAGGTGAGCTGCCGCTGGTACCACGCTAATGATGGGCTGTGTCTATCCAGCCAACTCATGCCTAACACTATAGGCGTGTCTGACAGTTGGGTGACATTGAAACTGATGACCTCGCGATGATTCCCAATTTTCAGCAGCATGGGTGGCGTCTGTTGTACCACTTGCCCACCCAGCAACTTCCTGCCATCTACCGTGACGACGTTCAGAGGCAGCGTGGCTGGTAGTAGCGCTATGCGATGCTGCTTGATGAACTGCATCCCCACGAAGTCTGCGTTGCTCCCTGAGTCAATCGTAATGGGGACTTCCAGGGTGAGTCCATTAGGTAGCTGGAGAGTAGCAGTGAGCTGCACCACTGGCTTGGGTGGTAAGGGGTCTGTAGGCTGCAAAAGCGCTGGGGACTGCTTCACTGACTTGCCTGGCGGAGCCCCAGCATCTCTGCTTCCAGCCAGGCATTGCCGTTTCCCTGAAACTGTTCTCCTTGGAACGCTTCCCCTGTCACTGTTGCTAAGGCTGCAGTGTGCTTCTGGAGCCTCTGGGGACACTCTTTGGCCATGTGCTGCGCACTGTCACAGACGTAACACTTCCTGGTCCCTCTAGGAGGCTTCGCCTTGACTGCTCCGGACGCTGAGGCTCCGGCAGCTGTCTGAGCCTTTGCACCACCCAGTTCCATTGGTTCCTCCCCCTCCCTCAGCCTAGGCGAGGGATGCGTACGTCCCAGGTCGCTGGGAATAAAAGGAGGCGCTCTAGCTGGTGCGCGGACTTGGCGCCCCTCCTCACTGTGCCAAGGGCGTTCTTCGTGGCGCACTCCTATCGTGAGTGCCCTCTGCACGACGTCTGCTAGGGTTTGAGGTCTGTCCCCCCTTGCCAACTCATCTTTTACGGAGCCATGAAGCCCCTTCCAGAACAAGTCTCTCACTGCCAATGAGTCCTTTTCCCAGCCCAGCACATTCAGCAAAGCAAAAAAGCGAGAATGGTACTGACGCACTGTAGCCTTGCCCTGCCTCAATCCATGCATCTCCCGGCGCGCCACATCAACATCAACTGTAGATTGGAAGCAAGCGTCCATGGCTTTGATAAATTCATCAGAGTTCCTGCGGGCAGGACCATCTTCGCGCCACAAATTGCGTAACCAGGCTCTAGCTTCCCCATGCAAATGGGACACAATAAAGCCTACCTTCTCCTCCTCATCTTTGAAGTCTTTCCGAAGCAAATGCAGCGCGTATACGACGTCTGCTCTGAAACTGGGATAATGCTTCAGGTTTCCATCGAAGTGGGCTACTAAATTGCCCCCCCTCCGTCCGAGTCCGATTCCCTCTGATCTGGACCCCGGGAACCCCTCTTTGCACGCCTGATCCCACCTGGCTTGCAGATCCTGGCATCGCGCTTCTGCTTCGGCAACTGTCTTCTGAGAGACCCGTACTGCAACGGAGAGTTCAGCGACTGCGTTTTGCAGGGTCGTTATCTGCTCCTCAGTAGTCATGTCTGCCAAACTTCGTGAGCTTTGCAAAAAAAAATTTTGCGGTTTCAGGGAGAGGGGACTTACTGTCAGGGCTGCCTCAAGTCTCAGCTCACAAAAGACCAACGCCTATCTCTTCTTATATACAAAAGTGTTTATTGCAGTTCATTGTTTGCTTCACATCCGAGGCGCGCAGCCCTACGTCTGTTACGCTTAGACCGCTGAAGTCCCCTCTGAATCAGTCCCTCCCCTGCACCAGTTTAAGAGGCTTGCGCTGCTCCACCTCTTTCTCTCTTTCCTTTTCCGCAGGGTCTTCCTGCCCGCTGGGGTTTCGCCCCTCCTGGATTCCTCTGACGCGGAATCCCCAGACTGCTCTTGCCCCCTCCTGCGGGCTTTGGGACCTGGCCCCTCCTCCGGGCTCCCTGTACTTCCGCGCGCCTCTACATTTGAACTTGGCGCGCGCGCCCAACCTCTAACCTTCCTTTTAACAGCTACACTACTCCCTTCACTACCCCCTCCCCTTCCGGGAGGGTGGCTTGCTCCGACCGACCTCCCTTCTCTGCTGCCGGAGCTGCTTCCCCTGAGACACTGAAACCTCCACCCCCTTCGCTGCACTCTGGCGGGGAGGCTGGTCCTGACGCCCAGCTGCCACTTTGGGATCCCCCGCTGGCCCCCTGCTCCTGACACGTTCCCCCTGGGGCTCCCCTGGCCTTGACCACCGGCGCCCCCTTCTGGGAATCCTCTGATTCGCTGGAAAGACTCATGGAATCTCTTGAGTCATTGTCATCCTCTTCCTCGCTGTCCTGGGACTCATCCCCATCGCTCTCCATCTCCTGCCTACCCTGTGCCTCTGTCCCTGAACCCCTGACAATAATAATAATAATAATAATGATAATGATAATAATAATAATAATATAACCTGTGCTTTCATCATCCGTTTGCGGATCTCTGTGGCAACTTCACAGTGGCTGCCCCTGAAGTTTCCCCTTAAAACAGATTCTTTAGATATGTCATGCTGGGGCTTGGACTCTTATGTGCCTTGGGACAATTCTGTGATTCTATAAGCATATTACAGTGGTTCCTCGGGTTAAGTACTTAATTCATTCCGGAGGTCCGTTCTTAACCTGAAACTGTTCTTAACCTGAAGCACCACTTTAGCTAATGGGGCCTCCTGCTGCCGCAGCACCGCCAGACCACGATTTCTGTTCTTATCCTGAAGCAAAGTTCTTAACCTGAAGCACTATTTATGGGTTAGCAGAGTCTGTAACCTGGAGCGCCTGTAACCTGGAGCGTATGTAACCTGAGGTACCACTGTACAAACAAATGACAATGCACTTGATCTCACCTTTAACAGAGACTGAGCATTTCTTAGGAGGGATTACATACTGTACATCTGTAACAAAGGAGCTGCCATTTTTCACGTCAGCCTTTCCTGACAAATAAATAGTCATTGTGTAAATAGACGCATTCTGTACCTCGCCCTGAAATTCTTTGTTCTCCCTTTACATACGGAATTACCAGGATTCAATAGCTTCTCTAAAATGTTCTTTTTCCTTTAACGTAACTTAGTAAAGTAATACTTGGCTGTTTCTATAATTTTCTCATAAATTTCATTAGGCTTCCGGTTACTTTTCCATAACTTCATGTACAGAATCCCAGCCGTTGCAAAGGATGCATTGTGCCTGAGATGGACCTTATGGTCTTATGTATGTTTATTGTGCTTTTAATTCTTTTGGGAGCCATCCAGAGTGGCTGGGGAAGCCCAGCCATGTGGGCGGGGTATTAATAATAAATTATTATTATTATTATTATTATTATTATTCAGTAGGCACAGAAGGGAGTCAAAAGGGATTTCGGACTTGAAGTTGCCTTGGGCCAGCACCACTTTGCTTTATGTTTCCACCATAAATGAAGAAAAAAAAGTCCCTTTTACCAGCATTTCAGGGCCCCCACTTGCCATTCCTCCTCCCAAACACCCACCACAGGGGACTTCCAAGGCATTTGGGGCCATTGATGTATCCCCTCTATTTACAATTTTTCATATAGATGCTCACTTCCAACTGAAAAGGTCGTTCCTCTGCATTTTAACCTGTATTTTAAATTGGGTTTCCCCCCCCTATTATGTTTTACGTTTTTACTGTAATTTTACTGGTGTTGGCCGCCCTGAGCCCGGCTCTGGCTGGGGAGGGCAGGATATAAATTTATTATTGTTATTATTATTATTATTATTATTATTATTATTATCATCATCATCATCAACAGGAATGCTCAGTTATCATATGAGCGGTTTGTTTTTGTTATATATTACATTTATACCTCACTTTTCCCACCAAGGAGCTCAAAGCGGCTCACATGGTTCCCCCCACCCCATTTGATCTCGCACAACAACCCTGTGTAGGGATCAGATGGGATTACCATGAGGAATTATAAAATATACATCAAGCCATCGTGTCCACGATGAACGCATTGTGTTGACTGGGTTTGATATATTGACGATAATTTCTGATTAAATCCCATAAGATTCTACATGCATGCCCTTTTCATGCCCTTTTGCCTCTACTGCCCATTTCTCTCTCTCTTCACAAGTCACGTACACAGGCAGGCATCCTGGGTCATCTAAAGACTATGGGCAGTTTCTTTGATGTAGCTTTTCTAATAGGTACGGTAATCTTAGGATGTTAATCTTAGGGCCAGGAAACAGGTTTCACATTAAGGTGATAATGGTCACTGTCCTCCTGGCCATCCTTCTTATCATGTGTACTGATTGTTTATCACCTGGGGGGGGGTTTGCTGTATTCGCTCCTTTGTAGTTTTTCATTCATTTACTCCAGAGTATGCATGCCTAACTAGTGTTTATAGTTTAACTTTGTCCCCACTTGAGGTCTGTTTGAATGCTCCAAGGAAATCTGATTGGTTCTTAGGAGCACCGTGTAAAGGATTCTTTTGCTAATAAAATGGCCTGGTGAAGGGGGCGAAGGATGCCTTGCAGGTCAAAGCCTCGTGTCTTATTTTAATCAGGGTCCATTCTTTCCTTTGGCCTCAGAACGCAACACCCTGTGAGGTTGGGTTGGTGACTGGCAGCCCGATGCCCTTCAAGGCCGAGTGGGTATTCGAATCCTGGTCGCCCGGTGCTCTAACCACTACACAACACTGCTATAATTCTGTTATTAGCATGGTATAGGGATTAACGGCAAACACACTGGCATGTTTGTGGTCCTGTTCTTCAGGGAGTATTCACACAGTCTTTGACAGCAACTGCCTCTTTCCAAAAAGAATCATTCCCTCCTGGGGGTTTTGGCACCACACGCCGTCAACGGCCCTGAACTCTGGATTGGCAGCTGCCTGCTGTTATCAGATTCCTGGCTCCAAAGTCCAGCAAGCAATGGCCAAGGCAGCTCCAGTATAAAGCAGGGATAACCTGGGCTTGGATTTGCATGACCTAAAGTGCAGCTGCAATGCAGATGCAAAGAGCATGGACTCCAGACGGCAAAGGAAGCAAAACTCAACGGTTTATTGAGATATAATGCAAAATATGGACGCAGCAGAGAGTGAGACGTGTAGGTCATGGGGGCCCATCGAAGAAGCACCGTAGGATAAACCACGCAGCGAGAATTCAAGAGGAACAAGTACAAAAACCAGTACAAAAACACCAGCAATATTAAAAGAAGGATTGACAAAACAACTGTATTAAATCTTCAGTTTAAAAGCACTTCAAGTTCCCCCCTCCATTCCAACTGCACAGTGTTAAGTTGCAGCTGTTACATGGTGGGACAAAGGGTTATATTTTAATATTTATTGCATTTTATATCCCGTTTTCCCCCTGCAGAGCTCAAGGTGGCCTGCACCCTCCTCCCCATCCCATATTATCCTTACAACAACCCCGTGAGGTAGGTCAGGCGGAGGGTTGGTGACTGGCCCCCAAGGTCACCCAGTGAGGCTCAAGGCAGAGTAGTGAATGGAACCCAGGTCTCCAGGGTCCCAGTTTGATGCTCTAACCACTACATCTCACTGCCTCTCCGTCCCTGAAAGTGCAGGTGGAAAGGAAGGAGCTGGGGAGCCCAGGGTGGCTGAGCCTCCCCAGAAATGAACACGAAGGGAAAGGGAAAAGGCTGAAGGCACACGGGGCAGGATATTTTCACGCAGCAGCTGTTATGTATTAACTTGGGACTGACCCCAGAAGCGGAATTTCCGTGGGCTCCCTGCTTGTGCTCAGAATTGTTCAGAGAAGGTAAAATTCTTTGCAGCAGGATTCTTCCTTTCGTGATGTTGCATCAGAATCTTTCTCATGGGAGTCTTTTAAGCAGAGCTTGGATGTTTGCCTGTCAGGGATCCTTGAGCTGAGATTCCTGCATTGCAGGGGGTTAGACTAGATGCCCCTTGGAAGTCCATTCCGTATAATTTTTTTATTAAATTTTCTGTTTCACAATTTAAAATACTCATTTTACATCCTCAAGATATCAACGACTTCTTCTCTTTCCATGGTTCATTTTACATATCATAAATCCCTGCATATTTTACACAAACTACGCCATTCAGTATTCCATTACTGCATCCGTCAAACTTGTTTACCCTGTTGAATTTATCTTAACGCTGCCTGCGTTTTCTGCTGTACACAGTCATTATTTCCCATATATTCAATAAACGTTTTCCAATCTTCGTATGTTCTTCTTGTTCTCTTATTATGTTAAGTCTGCAAGCTGTGCATATTCTGTCAACTTCAGCTGCCATTGTTCTTTGATTGGGACCTGGCTCGTTTTCCATTTTTGGGCTAACAAAACACGGGCTGCAGTAGTGGCATACATAAACAACCTTTTTTGACCCCTGGGAATGTCAGTCTGAATTATCCCCCACAGGAAGGACTCTGGTTTTTTGGGGAAAGTACTTTAAAACATTTTTTTCAATTCATTACGGATCATTTCCCAATACTCTTTTATCCTTTAACAGGTCCACCACATATGAAAGAACGTTTCCTCTTTGCATTTCCAGCATTTATCTGATTCAGTCTTATATATCTTGGCAAGCCTTAGGTCCAGTCGTGGCCGACTCTGGGGTTGCGGCGCTCATCTCGCTTTATTGGCCGAGGGAGTCGGCGTACAGCTTCCAGGTCATGTGGCCAGCAGGACTAAGCCGCTTCTGGCGAACCAGAGCAGCGCACGGAAACGCTGTTTACCTTCCCGCCGGAGTGGTACCTATTGATCTACTTGCACTTTGACTTGCTTTCGAACTGCTAGGTTGGCAGGAGCAGGGACCGAGCAACGGGAGCTCACCCCATCGCGGGGATTCGAACCGCCGACCTTCTGATGGTCAAGTCCTAGGCTCTGTGGTTTAACCCACAGTGCCACCCGCGTCCCTTGGGGGTAAAGCCTACTTGGGAGTAAATTCCAACCCTAGAATTCCATGAGTCTTCTGGCATCTTTGGCTGCCCTGCTCTCCACAGCCTCTTGCCAAGTGCAATGTTGTTTCCTGCAAGCACTGAGGCATCACTCTGGCCCTCGCTTCGTCTCAGCTGACCCCTTGCAAGGGACCTCGTTTCCCCACCCCCCGGCTCTGCTGGCGTTTGCTGGGCGCAGAGACGGCACTTGCATTCTGCAAACGTAACACTCACTTTGCGCTCCGAGCCTCGGCACAAGGGGGACGCCCCATTGCAGGCTGAATGGGGCAGAGACTTTCACCTCCACAGGACAAGCAGGTCCATGCGTTCGCGGTGGACCCTCCTGAGCAGCTGGTCATGGTCTCCCCGGGTAACATCTGGGCAACCTTGCAAGTCCAGGTGTCCGAGCTGATTCTCCGAAGACAGCAGCAGGTGGGCGGTTTGGGCAGACACCTGGCTGTGGGCCAGGGAGACCTTGTGCAGGTGTGCCAGGGGGGTGCCAGGGGTCTCCAGCGCCTTCTGAAGCAGCCCGTCCAAGGGGAAAGGCACGTGGATCAGCTCCAGGGTTTCCAGGCACGGGGAATTCCTCAGCAGAGACAGGAGGGTGGCGCTCAGCACCGCGGAGTGCGGAGAAGGCAGAGGAGCGTCGGACGCGGCCAAGATGAGCCGAAAGGCACGGAGTCGAGGGAATTTGTCGAGGGGAACGAGGCTGACATCCAAGCCTCCGTCTCCGTTTGCAAGCGGTTCCCAGTGCCAGCCGGGCAGCTGTGGGGCGCAGAAGGAGGCGCTGAGCTCCCGGAGGTTTGGGCAGCGGCTCAGCAGGGTGGGGAAGGAGAGAGGGTCTTCGAGGGAGAAGCCCCCCAGCGAGAGGGTCTGGAGCTGGCTGCCCTGGGCGGTGGCCAGGGGCAGCAGCTCCCCCAGGTGCCTGTTCCCCTGGCAGCTCAGCGTCAGGTGGGCAAGGCGGTGCCAGGACAACAGGGGGCTTTTGCCCTTGGCAGGGCCGTCTTCGAGGATCACCGTGGCCCTCGCCACATGGGGGCACGCGGCGCAGATGGCAGGCAAGGAGTCCTCGCTCACCTCCAGCATCTCCCGGAGGGGCAGCGTGAGCTTGGCACTCCCCTCGCCTGTGAAGGAAGGTGCCCTGTGCCGCCGCGCCAGCTCCTCCAGGGACGGAAACTCCGGGGGGATCTGGGCCCCGCCAAACTCCTGGTGGTGGACCAAGCACACGGCGTCCGGGACGAGGCTGCTGGCCAGGGACTTCAGGCTGGGCAGGGCCAGCAGCAGGAACACCAGGGACCAGAGGAGGTCCTGGCTGGAGGCGCTGGGTTCGAGGTCCGACGCTGCCAGCGCTTGCAAGGCCGGGCAGCAGAAGGCGCCCGCGATGGGGTCATAGGCCAGGTACAGGAGGGAGGCCCCGGACAGCCGGGCGCAGGCAGAGACGTCCAGTTCGCGCAGCCGGCGGCAGGAGGAGCCCACAGCCGAGAGGACGGCTGTGTTGCACTGCGTCCCTGAGAGGTTCAGCTTCGTGAGGCCGGGCAGGATTTCCGCCAGGTCAACGAGGGAGTCGGCAGGGATCCGGCTGCAGCCGCGGAGATCCAGGGAGGACAGGTTCTGCCTCGGGAAAAGGAGCGAGAATGAGAGTCGGACAGAGGGCAAAGGGACCCCAGGAATTATAGGGACAGAACTACCGAAACGATATAGAAGCTTATTCCTGTATGCTACCACAGCAGCAAGAACGTTACTCGCCCCAAAATGGAAAGAAGCAGAAGTCCCAGCAAAGGAAGAACGGATACAAAAACCTATGGGATACGCAGAAATGGCAAAACTTACCGGAAGAATAAGAAATCAATATACTTTTTAGAAAAGAATGGAAATGCTTTATTGAGCATTTACAGATAAATTGTAAACAGATAAGAAGGTTGGCAGGATTATTGTAATAACCTGCAGTTTGATAAGAGTATATATGTAAAGTAGATGAATAAATGAGCAAATTAAGTTAATTTAGATAAGGAGAAGATATTAAAAATAAAGTTAAGGAACCGCAGAAAGAGGGGGAAAGAAGTCAAGTTTTGAAATGCTAAAATGATTGTAAAATTAGTGAAATGTATACACCTGAAAAGCATAAAAATATATTTTTTAAGGATCCTGGGACACCATGATTACGTGGCCATGCTGCCAGCAGAGCAAATTAATTATTGTTACCGTGTTGGCCTGAATACATGCCACACCCGAATATAAGCTGCACCTTTAAAGTTCAAGGGGGGAAAAGAAGAAAAGACAATACTCAAAAATGAGACGCTCCCTTAAAATTCCGCAGGAACTCACACCTGTTTTGTTTTACCGTATGTCTGTTTCAAAGCCTATTTTTGTAAGGTCTCGAATTTAAGCCGCACTAACCTTTCATGGTTGGAATTTGGAAAAAAAGTGAGGCTTATATTCAGTCCAATACGGTATTATTATTATTATTATTATTATTATTATTATTACTACTACTACCCAGCCACTCTGGGCAGCTGCCAACAGAGTAAAAACATAATAAATTATCCAACATTAAAAGCTTCCCTATACAGGGCTGCCTTCAGATGTCTCCTAAAAGTTCTCTGCCTCCTTGACATCGCATGGGAGGGCATCCCATGGCCCCGATCCGAGCACATCAAGCGCCTGAGCGAAGCCACATGGCAGGAGGCCAGGGAGAGGAAGCAGCGTCTCAGAAGACGTGCCTCCCCGAGGGATCTCCGTCCTGGCACAGCGCCCCCTGCACCCCCCCTTACCTTGCAGCGCACGGTGATGATGTCTGCGATGGCCTTGGTGACCAGCTTTGGGCAGGTGCTGAGGCTCAGCTGCGTCAGGTGCGGCACCAGGAGCAGGTGCAGCATGGGGCGGGTGAGACGCCCGCTCTGCCCCATCAGCTGGAGCAGCTCCTGGACGACCGAGCCAGCTGGGAAAGGGGGAGGGGAGACCCAGGATGTTAATCTGCGATGGTGCCAAGAGCCAAGGATCTGGAGTGCGCTTCTCCCTCACCCCACTGTGTGCTCACAACGCTCGGGTTGCGAACGTGATCCATGCGGGATGCACGTTCGCGACTCACAGCGTTCGCAACCTGCAGCAGCACATTTGCACACACGCGGGTTGCAATTCGGGGCTTCTGCACATGCACAAAGTGCGATTTAGCGCTTCTGCGCATGCACGACTGCTGAAACCCGGAATTAACCCGTTCCACTCCTTCCAGGTTTTGGTGGTCCGCAACCCGAAAAAACGCAACCTGAAGCGTCTGTAACCTGAGGTATGACTGTAATTTATTACTTATAGCCCGCCCACCTGGCTGGGTTTCCCCAGCCACTCTGGGCGGCTTCTAAACCCAAGACTGCCGGCCGGCTGCCAATATGGGAGGCAAGACTTTAGCCGGTCCTGCTGCCCGCTGGGGGCTCCTGGGCGCTGCCCCCTTCCGCACCCACTCACCCAGCTCGCTGAAGGGCCCCATGATGTAGCGGAAGTGGTATTCGTCCAGGTATTTGTCGGCGTAATCCTTGAGCCAGAGGCAGCTCATGTTCCCGGCCACATTCTCCAGGCAGAGCCTCTGCAGCGCCTGCACCTCTTTCTTCCTGGGCATGGAGCTCCTGGAAGAAAAGAAGGAGGAGAAGAGGCGCTGGCAAGGGACGGGCGGGCAGACGGGCAGTTCCTCCCCTGCCCCTGCTCCCAGTCAGGGTGGAGCTGCTCCCTTGACAGGATGACAGGTCCCACGGGTGGGGTGTGAGGTCACGCCGTGATGTTATGCCGGTGTGACGTCACTCACGCCCTCCTGCCCTTTGGCTCTTCTCGTTCACAGGGGCACTTTCTTTTTTCCTTTTTCCAAATCCTTTCTTATTTTATTCACATAATATACATTCTTTACAACAGACAACTCCAAAATAAAATCATATGTACCAAACCAGAAGTCTCATGTTTTCCTTTACACTGATCTCCTCTCTGATACCTTTACTTGATGTTTCTTGCTGCTTTCTGCTTTCCTTATCGAATCTTTTAAAAATTTAAATCTCTTAAATCCTATACGCATCCTAAAGATCCTATACGCATCTTTAACAATTTCAATTAATCCCTTCACCTCCCTCCCCCACAACTCAGTACTTCCCTCCACCCGTGTACCTGCTATTATTTTTGTTATTGTTGCGTTATTCACTTTATTTGTTATTCCATCCTTAATATATTATTATCCTATCTCCTTGAGCCTTTTAAACTTTTGCACGGGGGCACTTTCGTTTCTCTCGAGCTCTGGGCCGCCTTCCGACAGCTGCGCGCACATGTGTGTGTGCGGGGGATTTCATGAATGAGTTCCTCCTTTATGAATCATTGGCCAACCCGGAATGAGGCAGAGCCGACTCTCTGGTTTGGCCTGGGAAGCAGGGTGGAGAGCGGCCCAGAGGGGACGGGACGGACTCTGCTCTCTCCCGCCGGGGGTGGGCAAAGCCGCCATGCAGACCCCCCACCGCCCAGGATCATCACCATGGTACCTCGGGTTAAGTACTTAATTTGTTCCGGAGGTCCGTTCTTAACCTGAAACTGTTCTTAACCTGAAGCACCACTTTAGCTAATAATAATAATAAGAATAAGAATATATTATTTGTACCCCGCCCATCTGGCTGGGTTTCCCAAGCCACTCTGGGAGGCTTCCTGCTGCTGCGCGATTTCTGTTCCCATCCTGAAGCAAAGTTCTTAACCCGAGGTACTATTTCTGGGTTAGCGGAGTCTGTAAGCTGAAGCGTCTGTAACCCGAGGTACCACTGTATTTATACCTCACCCAGCCCAGCCACTCTGGGCGGCTTAAATAATAAATTATTATTATCAAATGAAGCAGTATTCAACAATCCATTGGAATCCAATAGTAAACAGTAAAATTAAACACCCGCAAATCCTAAAGAGTTTACAGTGATCAATTACGGTGACAGGATCCCCGGAAGCTTTGGGGTGGGGGCAGAAGGGGGATCTTGGTGGGCTTGTCCCGGGCGGGGCGGGGAAGGGGGCGCCGATCGGGACCGGGACCAAGAGAGCAGAGCTGTCACCGTTTCCCTTTTCTCACGAGGAATCCTATTCGGAATAATAATAAGGGAATACTGTAATAAGGGAAGAAGGGAATTTCCCTTGACAGCTATGCAAGAGAGCTGGTCCCGATTCGAGGCGAGGCTGGTCGCGGACGGAGCCCTTACCCTGGCGCTGGATCCCTCCTTCCCGGGAGCCCAAAGGATCGAGTCCCTCTTCTTCCTCCTCCCGCCCACGCGGCCGGGGAGCAGCCCGGCCCCGCCCCTCGCCGGGCGGAAGGCGCCGCGGCCCCGCCCCCTCGGCTTCGCCGGCCCCGGGTGCGCCTGCGCGGGCCCCAGGGGCCTTCTGGCGGGGAGCTGCCCCGCGCGGCGCCTGCCGCGGGAAGTGGCGGGAGTCGCGGGTGGGGCGGGGCGGGCGGCGGCGAGCGGGCAGCCCGGGCGGGGGCCTTGCTGGCAGGGCGGAGGCCGGCGCGGCGGAGAGAGGAGGGAGCCGGTGAGTGGGGGGGGGAGACGGGGGGGGAGGGGGTCCTGAGGAGACGGGCCCGAGCCGGGGGGGGCAGCAAGGAGTCTCTGGGGAAGCTGACGGGGCGGCGGGAAGCCGGGGGGGGGCACACCGGGGCTCAAGCCCCCCCCACACAATTATGACCTCTTTACATTTATTTAGAACAGGGAAGGCCTGTTGGGGGACTACAACTCCCCTCATCCCTGACCACCCGTCCTGTTAGCTAGGGATAACAATAATAATAGTAATAATAAACCAACACAAATGTAATTTGTATCCTGGATAATAATATAATAAGAATAAGAAACTTTTATTTGTAACTCCCCTCATCCCTGACCACCTGTCCTGTTAGCTAGGGATAACAACAACAACAACAACAATAATAATAATAAACCAACACAAATTTTATTTAATAATAATAATAATAATAATAAACCAACACAAATGTAATTTGTATCCTGGATAATAATATAATAAGAATAAGAATAAGAAGCTTTTATTTGTATCCTGGCTGGGAAGCCGAGGGGGGGGGCGCACCGGGGCTCAACCCCCTCCCAATAATTATTACCTTTTTACATTTATTTAGAACAAGGAAGGCCTGTCTGGGGATTACAACTCCCCTCATCCCTGACCACCTGTCCTGTTAGCTAGGGATAACAATAATAATAATAATAATAATAATAATAATAAACCAACACAAATGTAATTTGTATCCTGGATAATAGTATAATAAGAATAATAAACTTTTATTTGTATCCTGGCTGGGAAGCAGAGGGGGGGACTGGGGCTCAACCCCCTCCCAATAATTCTTACCTTTTTACATTTATTTAGAACAGGGATGGCCCTCCAGCTGTTTTAGGACTACAACTCTCATCATCCCTGACCACTGGTCTTGTTCGCTAGGGATAATAATAATAATAATAATAAACTTTTATTTGTATCCCAGCCGGGAAGCGGAGGGGGGAGGCGGGAAACCGGTGGTGAGGACCAGGGCTCAACCCCCCCCCCCCAATAATTATTACCTTTTTAACATTTATTTATAACAGGGATGTCCCAACTCGGCCCTCTCCATGTTTGGGGACTACAATCCTATCATCCCTGACCACTGGTCTTGCTAGCTGGGGATAACAATAAGAATTATGATAATCATCATCATCGTCATCATCAACGACTCCCATCATCCCTGACCACTGGTCCTGTTAGCTGGGGATAATAAACAACAACAATAAACATTTTTTTGTATCCCAGCCGGGAAGCGGAGGGGGGAGGCACGGTTTTTTACCTTTTTTACAATTATTACCTTTTTACATTTGTTTAAAACAGGGAAGGCCAAACTTGGCCCTCTCCATGTTTAGGGACTATAATTCCCATCATCCCTGACCACTGGTTCTGTTAGCTACGGATAATAAGAATAATAAGAATAATAAACTTTTATTTGTATCCTGGCTGGGAAGCGGGGAGGGGACCAGGGCTCAACCCCCCCCCTCAATAATTATTACCTCTTTACATTTATTTAGAACAGGGATGACCCAACTCGGCCCTCCCCATTTTTGGGGACTACAACTCCCATCATCCCTGACCACCTGTCCTGTTAGCTAGGGATAATAATGATGATGATGATAATAAATAATTTTTATTTGTATCCCAGCCGAGACCGGGCTCAGGATGGCTAACTTCAAATATAAACATTGATATAAAATCAAACAATAATTAAATCACCTCTTCAAAACAAATCAGGATAGGATTAAAATCTGAATTAGATGGCTTTCTGCCCGATTTGGGTATTTAAAAAAGTATGACGTGGAAGCTGTAATTTTGTAGCTGTGACACTTTAGGAGCCAATAGAGATAATATGCTGGTCACATTAAAAGGCCCTGCTTCGGTAGTTAAGTATCTTCTCCAGATGCTAACAATACTTTAAAAAGTCAAAAAGCTGTTTTTATGTGGCTTGAAAGCTGTCTGCAGGTACTTTATTTGCTTTTTATCTGTTGAATGCTTATGGCTGGAGGGGTCCCAAAACAGCTGGAGGGCCGAGTTTGGCCCACACTGATTTAAAATACGTGATAAAATGAAGGACCCCAACGTAAATTGGAAAAGGTACAAATGCTATGAGGTAAAACTGGAATTATAAAAAACCCTGAGGCAGGATGGAGGGAAGTCGACAGCTTGCGTGAGCAAATAAGGAAAGAGTTCCATAAAGATGTATTTAATATTATAAAATGGAAAACCTAATAAATATATTATTTTAAAAAATCAATCCCCCCCCCCAACTCAACAGGGCCATCAAGGCATCTCGGTGGGGACGGCCTTCCCCCATGAAGACGGGCTTTTTGGTTTAAGGAAAATGCGGGGAAGGCCGGGGGGTGGGCAATAGAAATTTATGAAGGGATGCAGAGCGGGAAGAAAGTGGACCTGCCGGGAAAGCTTTCCTTCTCTCGAACTCGAGGGCATCCGACAAAGTGATTCAGGACAGGGAGACGAAAGTCCTCCTTCACACAGTGCAGCCTGGAGCTACGGAACCCCTTCCCACAAGAGGCAGGGGCCACAGTGCTGGATTTACATATAAGCTAAACAAGCTATAGCTCTCTTTGGGCCCCCCCAAAAAATTAAAGGAAAAGAAAATGTATTTCACTATTAATATACTTCTTCTTAATTATATTTCAGTTCAACAATTACTTTGATTAAATACATATTTTGTGATGTGCAAATTCATAAATTACCATATAGCATCTATTCAACACAAAAAACTGCAGCAATTTGTTGTTGACAAAGGACAGCTGGACATAGAAAGGGTCCCATTACCTTCAGTAGCTGAGGGCCTCATCAAACCTCAATCCGGCCCTTGCAGGGGGTAATAATAATAATAAAAATAATAATAACAATTTATTATTTATACCCCACCCATCTGGCTGGCCTTAGAAGAGGATTGGACCAGTTCCCAGAGGGCTCTTGAGGGCGACTTTCTTCTTGCTGCCATTCTGGCTCACTGGAGCCAGTGGATCTAGCCTGCATTCAGAACCCATTTCCCACTGCCTCTCTTTCCTGAGGTTCCTGCAGACCTTTCACTGCAGCCTCTTCCTTTCAAGCCCCACTGGATTTTGCTATGTGGGGAGGAGATCTTGGGCTCAGGGTTCGCTACACTCACCATTTCCTCCTTCCCGGTGGACCTGTTGACCTTCAAGCAGTCTGGGCTCTGACAGGAGATGTTTGCATGGCGGGCTGGACGTGGGTGTTTCTTCCCATGCTTCAGTGTGATGACAGAATCTATGCAGGCTGAACAAAATTAGAATCATGAAACACAGTGCATATCCCTGGGGGGGGGGGAATCTGATTTTTTTAAGACTATCACTCGTGTCTGCAACGTCTCAGCTCATTTGCTCTATTCTTAACATTTTAAAGGTGGGCGTTTGTTTGGATGGCAGGTTTTGTTGCACACACCCCTCCCCAAGTGCTAGTTTCCCGCCCTCAATTTTTAACTGAACAGTCAAGCAAACTCTTCCCTCACATTTTTTGTCAGCACATGATAGTCTTCAAACACCCTGCTCAAAGAACTCTATTCAAAACTGGGGAGTCTAAAAAATTACGGGGTGTTGGGAAGAGGCAGATTCCACCAAGGATCACTTTTTTCTTGATGAATGGGTGTGATGTCGGTGAACAGGCTTTTGGGGCCAAAGGCTTTTCTTTGGCAGCAAATCAGCTAGTAAGACAAAGACACAGGCGGCTGAGCTTTCGCTGGGAGGCTGCTAGCATCTGCGGTGCAGCGACAAGTCAGCAATTGTAGGACTTGCTTCACGTGATAGAGGGCAGCCCGTCCTGTGTGCTTTAAAGTTTTCCTTCAGCAGCCCCACCCAGTTGTTCTACACAGAGAAGCCGTGTGCCAAATACATCCTGTAGCTCATAGTGGCAGAATACTACAAGGAGGTGCTCAGAAACTATTGTCTGTTCCTTGACTATTTTCATTTGCTCTACGCGGGGCTGCCCATGAAGCTGACCCAGAAACTCCAGCGGGTACAGAATGCCGTGGTGAGGCTACTTACGGGGTCCTTACCGTGGGATCACATTCATCCAGTGCTGTACCAACTGCACTGGCTCCTGGTGGAGTACAGGGTCAGGTTTAAGGTGCTGGTTCTAACCTTTAAAGCCCTATATGACATGGGACCCTCGTACCTACCGGACCGCCTGTCCTGGTATGCCCCGCGGAGGGCCTTACGATCCGCCAACAATAACATCTTGAGGCCCCGGGCCTCAAGGAGGTTAGACTGGCCTCGACCAGAGCCAGGGCCTTCTTGGCCCTGGCCCCAGTCGGGTGGAATGCTCTGTTGCAAGAGACCAGGGCCCTGCGGGACTTGACATCTTTCCGCACGGCCTGCAAGACAGAGCTGTTCCACAAGGCCTTTGGTCGGGGCCCAGTCTGACCCCCCTCCTTTTATAAGACCCTGCATATAAGTGGCCTCTCTATTGCTTCTTGCTGGCTCATACAAATAGCTGAGCCTGGTGAGTAATTAAGGTCCCTAACCCTATAGTTATAATTTGTGGGTAGCCATCTGAGTTTATTTTGATTTTAATCCGATTTTAAGCTGTATTTCAGTTGATTGCTGAATTTATATTTTAATGTATTATATATTTTGATGTTAGCCACCCTGGGTGGGGAGGGCAGGATATAAATAAAATTTATTATTATTGTTATTTCCTTGCTGGCCCCTGCAGGAATTGTGCAGTGTGGGTCAAGAGTGCTGCATCTTTGCTGGGACCTGCCTGCTTCTTTCAGTGGATTAGGATGACTTCTTTGAACTCTTAGGACCTTTGTGGCATGGCTGCGACTGAGCAGCTGACATGATGTGGATGGCTTGAAGGTGCTGGTTGGGAGAGCTCACGTGGAGCTGCTTCCTTCTGGTAGCAACATGGGCTGCTGCTGGCTGCGTTCTGCTGCTGGTCCTGATCCTCCAGTGAGATCTGGACCAAAACGGGAGAAAATGCTCCCTAATGGGAATCATGTCTGCAGGACCAAATCTTCCTCACCCTCCCTCTTCCTGCTGCTGCTGCTGCTGACTATGGGGAGGTTGCTTTCATGATCCACGACAGGCTTCCCCTTGGGGCATCTGAGAGCCGGTGGGCTGTAGTGGCTAGTGCGCTGGACTAGGACCTGCGAGACCAGAGTTCGAATGCACACTCAGCCATTATGGTCCCTGGGCAACATTGGACCAGTCACTGGCTCTCAGGCTAACCTACCTCATGGCACTGTTATGGACATTGAATGAGGAGGGGGAGACCCATGTATGCCACATTGAACTCCCTGAGGGAATGGTGAGATATAAATGTAATAAATAAATAACCTTCCGGCTTCTGTTGGAAACGGGATCTTGTAATAGAAGGAACCTTTTGATCAGGTTCAGAAAGGCTCTTCTCTTGAGCGTCTCTGAAATATACAGTGATTGCTGGGAAGAGATGGTTGCGACATTTGCTCCTGAGCACCTCATGCTTACAGGGCGATGGAGCCAGCTTGTTAAATTAGATGGGGGGAAATATTGTTTCCTTTGGTTTGTGAAAGCTGCTTGGGCCAAACATTGGAAGGCAAAGCATGATGGAATGATGGAAGGAAACGGAAGTTTAATTCCAATATATGGGCCTAATACCGACGAACAAGAGAACCACTATATCTCATGAGAATACCAAAGAGAGCAGCAGTTTAAATAAGAGATTTTGAACTCTGAAGAATAGAAGTAGTGTGATCAACTACTTCTAGAGCAGCTTTTGACCTCTGTTCCGGCACGTGTCGCACCTGCTGCCCTGCTATCTGATAGTCAGGTGAAAGGGGTTGGCTGTGGAATGATGGGGTGGTGGGTGACGCATTCAGATGAATATGATCTTGAACTGGAAATAGACTAACCTCCTTGTTACCAGACAGGAGCATCCTCAGATCCTTGGTGTGTTGCTATGGTTACGCCTTCAGTGAAGTGTTTCAGATATATTGATTTGCAGCTTTGGTTGCTCCAGTTTAAGCTGCAAAAGAAGAAGAAGAAGAAAAGAAATGAGAGAGCATTTGGACGGGCGTCAGGGGGCATCTGTTTGAATAGCCCCTTTTCTGTGCTCCTGAAGGCGCTGCAGCCTCACTCCCTTGGCAGAGCTGCTCCAGCTACTCCTGAAATGGTAAAATGGTGCAGTTTGTCAGTGCGCAAATGCACACAGCTTGACTCAGCAGGGTCCTAGTGCCAAGTGGATCACGGTTCTCCTTGGGTGAGGAGCTTGGACCAGGAGCCGGGAGCCCTGCTCCTGGGGATTCACTGGCAGTGTCCTCAGTTGCTGCATTAGTTCTTTTGAGAGAGGATGACCTGGTGGAAACTCACACTTCAGTGGTTATTATTTATTTTTAATATTTTTAGGCAGCTAAACATTAGTAAATATTACAGTGTATAAAACAACAATAAAAATACAACAAATAAAAAGTGAGAGAATTTTTCCAAAGGGAAACGATACTGCCAACAAGTCAATTCATCCTTCTAGAAAAAACAGGGGTTGTTTTTTCTTTTAAGCCTCTGACAAGATGTGTGCTGTGCTGGAGCCTAACTTCAGTGGACAGCATCTTCCATAATGCAGGTGCGACTGGGCTGCCATAAGATGACTGCAGTGAACCGGCAGCTAAAAGGGGGGCAAGGTGAATCTGGGATATCCTGTCTCAAGCATTTAGGGCACCGTGCACTAAGACCTGAAATTTGGCCTGGTAGCCTATTGACGGCCAGTGCAGTTCCCTGAGGAATGGTATCCTGAATAGGCAGACAGCAGCCTCTGCCCCAAGCCCTGCTGCCACATCATGCGCTAGCTGCAGTTTCCCCATCAAACATAAGGGCAGTCCCACATCAGCCCATTGCAAGATTCTGGGTAGGATGCCACTCTTGAGTAATGCATACCTGGTTAGCTCCTTCCTCAACAGTCGAGTCGTGGGGAAGGGAAGTCTTATTCAGTAACAGCACCACCCGGCTAGGGAGCAAGGGGGAAGAGGAACCAGGCACCTGAAGCAGGAGAGATGAGAATAATAATAATAATGATATATAATAATAATTTTTTATTTATACCCCACCCATCTGGCTGGGTTTCCCCAGCCACTCTGGGCGGCTTCCAACCAAATATTAAAAACAATACAGCATCAAACATTAAAAACTTCCCTAAACAGGGCTGCCTTCAGATGTCTTTAAAAGTCAGATATTTGTTTATTTCCTTGACATCTGATGGAAGGGTGTTCCACAGGGCGGGTGCCACTACCAAAAAGGCCCTCTGCCTGGTTCCCGGTAACCTCACTTTTCGCAGGGAGGGAACCGCCAGAAGGCCCTCAGAGCTGGACCTCCATGTCTGGGCTGAACAATGGGGGTGGAGATGCTCCTTCAGGTATACTGGACCGAGGCCGTTTAGGGCTTTCAAGGTCAGCACCAACACTTTGAAATGCGCTCGGAAACGTACTGAGAACAGCATATGAGCCACTTAATGTCCACCTCTTCCCTTGTTGCCCTTCTGTGAATATGACAGAGTAGGGAACGGAGGGGCTGCTTGAGGTCCACCTGGGCCATAAGATGACCCTGTGCAAGGCTGCCTTTTTTCCTAAATCAAATTGCTGTCCTTGTGATCCCAGTTCTGTGCAGCTGCATCTCCCAGCCTCAGAGGCGGCTGACTGATAGTCGTTTGGACCTTCAACCTTTTTTGATATATGTCCCAAGTGCCCTCTTAGTATTAGTATTAGTATTAGTATTAGTATTCTATGTCTGTTCGCCTTTTTTCACCCAGTGGGCTGCATGGCGGAATGGGGATTTGAACTCTGCTCTTCCAGTTCCTAGTGTGGCAGCAGTTAAGTCCTCTTCCAAACTGGAGACTGCAGATCCCTTTCCTGTGTGCAGGCTGTAAATACCATCAGTCAGGGAATCCCTGCTTCCTTGGATGCGTAACTGGGTAGCTCAGCTTTAATGGGGATTGGACGAAATTCTTGGAGGACAATACCAAGGGAAGGTCTACCCAGCTTGAGCACACTGCTTTATGGAAGTGAGTCAGGGGCAACTTATACCTGCCAGGAGCAATGCCTCAATGCCTTCCATGTGCGCTGCATCAGGAATATTTTGGGCTTCACATGGCAGACGGTCTCAAACAAAGATGTACTCTCCCCAGCACACATTCCCAGCATGTTCGCATTCCTGCCTCAGCGA